ATGGTTAAATCAAACCATAACTGACACTCTATTAACAAAATCAATTATAGAGTACATTCTCAAGTGCTCCGAGCTCATTCATGTTTTCATTCACTTGTATTATAGATTGTTGTTTCAAAGCAAACATTTATTATCGGTATATAAAATATTTATAATATCATTCATATAATTATGTTGCTTTCTGGAAATGATTACAATAATTAACTAAAAAGGACCATTATTCACAAAGCGTTTGTGATGAATGTATCTTGTCACATCTGATCTTTATTTCAATTGAAAGCACTCGCTTTTCCATTGATCATTTGAAATAGAGATTTGATTATACAGTTATGTAAAACTATACACCCGCATGAAATATAAATAAGAAACACTCATAAACTGCCCCTGCAAGGGATATATTAAGCACAGGTCATTATTATCTTGGGTCACACTGATCTAAGCGAACAAATAACCTCGCAACGGACAAGCTTCTGCTGCAGCAAATATGGTTGCGTTCATCATTTGTGTTGTCCTTAGTTTCATCTTTTTCTGTGCGGCAACCAATCGGTCCCAGTTGTTCAGAAATGTCATAGACGGGCAAGAAGCAAGAGTAGCACCGTATGAAAACGCTGATAGCCACCTAGATTTATCTGTGATACTGAATCTTATGACCATAAGGGAGGTTAATGAAAAGAAACAAACTTTTGAAGCCTCGCTGTGGATCTCAATGACCTGGTTTGACCATCGTCTCGTGTGGAATTCTTCACATTACAATGGCATTACATCATTACGAACAAAATCAACTTATGTTTGGACTCCAGAATCTATATGCATTATCAATGAACTGGGAACTGACAAATGTTTGTGTGAAGTTTCAGATGTTTTAGTTTTAAATACAGGAGTTGTTACTTACACTACTTCTCGAGAGAGTTTAACTCTCTGTGAAATGGATATCACAAAATATCCGTTTGATGAGCAAATGTGTTCCATTTCCATCGCTAATTTGATTCATACTTATGACAACATTACCTTAAATAAGACAAATTCTCACTACCACTTTATTTCCCACAACAATGAAGAATGGCAGATGCTTGGATCGCATGTTTATGATTCGCATGTGTGGGATCCTATGTTTGGATTGCTTCAACAGCTTAACTTTATGTTACACATTAAACGGAAGTCAACCCAAGTCGTCATTTCCGTTATGCTGCCAGTCATTCTTTTATCAGTGATCAACATCTTCTGCTATGTACTGCCCGTAAATTCAGGAGAAAAAATGGGAGCATCCATCGCCATCTTCTTAACGTTTTCTGTGTTTCTGACTATCGTCAACAATTACTTTCCAACAACAGAAACAACTCCATATTTCATCATCTATATGAATAACAAGCTTTTTCTCAGTGGACTTACTGTCATCTTTCAAGCTGTGGTGCTGCATCAGCATTTCAAGAATTCTGAGATTTCCCCAAACAGAGTAGAACCTATCGGACAGACCGACAAAAAGGAGAACCATCAACTGAAATGTAAATGCTTGGAAACTACCGATCGAACTTTAAACAATGCATTCATGATTTTTTCTATAATTGCTAACGCTCTGTCTTTCATTATTTTCTTTACTTTGACCCACCTAAGAGAGGGAAACGGGAAAAAATTGACTTAATTGATTTGGCTAGATCCTAAATCTGATTTTGTTATTTCTCCTTGCAATTAACATTCCTAAAGATTGCATTTTCATTGTAAGTGCAGGTCAAGGTATACAACTGGGAGGAAATGAAAATACAGTTATCAAAAAGTAAGGTGTAATGATTTAGATTTATTCAAATAAGTTCTTATACCCATAAGATCAGCCTATTGTCATATTGATATAATGTTGAAAACAGCTAGCTGTTGGACGAGGGCAGAGTTTCATAAAAATAAGATTTGAGCAAGAATTGAGAAAATTAGTTTGTGTAATGATTTAGATTTATTCAAATAAGTTCTTATACCCATAAGATCAGCCTATTGTCATATTGATATAATGTTGAAAACAGCTAGCTGTTGGACGAGGGCAGAGTTTCATAAAAATAAGATTTGAGCAAGAATTGAGAAAATTAGTTTTTTTCAAGTTGTTGCAAACATAAATAGATTTATAAATTAAGTAATATTATGTCATTGTCCACTTTTGACCAATATTAAAGGATATGGACTTACACAGTTATATGTATTCTAACTGTCATTCCGGTTAATTGCTCTTTTAATTTTTGGAAACTTCGTGACTTGGCATTATTTTCAAACAAATTGCACAAAAACGACTTGAATTAGATTTCCACTGAATTATATATTTCATGAAATGTTTTCACACCAAATGTCCTTAATTCTCACGTACTGTAGCCGCATAGATAAATAAAGATTAATTTCTTTAATCTTCATCAAAGTTAAACGAAAGACAATGAAATTTGATTAAATAAATGTCAGATTAAAAAATGAATATATAAATAAACGATAAATAAATTTTATGCAAATTATAAATTATATTAATTCACCTCCGGGCTCTGGTTGGGCAATTCTTTCGAGATGTGATTCGGGGAAGGGATGCAAGTTAGATTCCTGGGATAACGTTTAAGTCCTTGATACCATTTCACAAATAAATCTAATTATGTACACAAGTTCTAGTTCTCATATTCTCATAAATACACAATGGCAATATACGTGTATATAACTGTATAATAATCTGTCGGACGAAGAAATAATTTTTTTTAAAAATGTAATTTTTTTTCATGTTATCTGCACAAGTCTTATCATAATAAAATCATGGATATTTAAATTTTCGGATTTGTGTTTTTTATTTATTTATTTATTTATTTATTTATTTATTTATCTATTTGTAATACTCATTTTTAGCTCTTTTGGTGGCTGACCAGAAAAAAGCTGATGTGTTGGTAAGTATATATCATCCATACGTCTGTCTGTTTGTATTTTTTTTTAGACGTCACCCTTCCTACAGTCTTAATCTGGCTTCAAGACCATAAACTGAGAATAGACTTAAGTAAAAATTTCACATAAAGATAACTTTAAAAATAATTTTGATATTCAAACGAATTTTGTCCCATATGTTTGCATTTGAATTATAAAAAAGCCCTCAATATAATAAATAAAAGCGTACCTGAGATAATTATCAAGATATTAAGAATCAAAATTTTTACTTGAGTCTGTTCTCAGTTTTATGATGTTGGGGCCTGATTTCATTAATCTTCGTATAGAAGTACATGTAGCTATAGACTACACTGAGATACAATATTCTGTATATTTAAAAAAAAAATATTTTAATGAGCGGTTACTTAATTTGAAATTTTTGCAGTCTTGGTTCGATTGGTCCGTTTTCAGCAAAATTCTGTACATATTCAATTGGACTGCACTAAGATTATACCATTCTGTTTTCGATTTTCAATCAATGGCACTGCAATGGTTAATTAATATACCAATATCCGTTAAATTCTGTTTAAATGCTATACGTTTGGTCTGATTTTACCAAAACTTGGTACGCAGATATACACCAAAGTAAAGTAAACTGAACCAAGTGTTGCCATATTTGGCTAAAAAAAGTGCGCTTACAGTACGATAAGATTTGAACATATACATGTACAACGTATATATCTAAGAACTTGTGTCCGATCCTTTTGTTTTAACATCTTAAAATATGCTCAAACCAACGTATTTCATTCTGTAACATACATGGAAAGATTAGGCAGCTGACATTGCTCATTTAAGCCTTCTCCATAAAACACAAACTTACATGTATGCAGTACATCTATATAAAGTACATGTATATTATATCACATAATCTAAATGGTCCATGTATTTCAAAAATAAATTGTTCGGGATAGAATTAAGCAGAAAAGGTTTGAGTGAATACCAATTTCATGAGGAAAAATGGGGAAAAAGACAAATTGGATATAAACAGTAAACATCTTTTATATCGTATCTCAGGGGACTATGATAAAGCCTACGTTATAACTGGTGTACGTTATAAACGGATACCGGAAGTACACAGTACACCTTTACCGTAAGCACTTTCCTAACCGCTAGTGTCTTATTGATATTTTAAAGTATGTATAGTATGTAAATAAATGATTTACGGGTATACTTAAGTGCTGTACAATCTTGATGATCCTCAGATCATATAAAAAGTCCGTAATGTTTGTCTGTTTGGCCTGACAACATTTATTTACAAAAGTCTCCAGAGTTGCCAGAGTCGTGAAAACTTCGGATTTACGCCCCCTGATCGTCTACTGATATTGAGTCAATGTATTTTTCTTTCACAAGTTTAATTATATCATTTTCGGTTATATTGCTATTTACTGACTCAAAGATGAATTTTTATTCAAACAATTTTGAGTACATCTACTCGATGAACTTTATTCAAACAATTTATTATAAATATATACATCTACATATACCTGAAACAACAAAGAAACCTCGATCGTTAGAAAAACACCCATACGGAGAAGCTATAAAGTCAACAAACCGTGACTAATCCGCAGTCATTGCTCTGAAAAGGTGTGAAACCATGTGTCAGAATACGTTATAAGAGGTGTAATTATGTAACGGGACCAAATTTCAAATACTTTATAAGCGATACTACGTTATATACAAATACGTTGTAAGCGGTGTTTTTCCCAATGAAATATATAGACACGTTGCCGGGACTACGGAATGGCTACTTTACATCAGGAGATACTTTATAACATGTATAACCGAGTACGTTATAAAAGAAGTTTACTGTATGTGAAAATGAAACCTTTTTTTTTTTTTTTAAATTATTTGTACTCATTACAATTTATTTATTTTTTATTTTTATTTATTTATGTATTTACTTATTGATTAATTAATTATCATTATTCCGCAAGCTTCTCTTGAAAGTCGTCGAACTGCTTCGTATTAATTCTGATCGGGTTAGGATTTCAAATTTCCTACAGGTGGCGCTGTGGACCGCGCCAAAACTTCAATTTTTTGTTGACATGGATTGATGAAAAGCCATGGAAACTTGAAAATGCCATTGACGAATAGAAGATTGCTGGTTTTTTGCTTACTTTTGAGCCTTTGCAGTGTGAATCTTTTGCCTGTTTTCGGTTTGTTAATTCTTTTGCCCATTTACCTTATGTCTTCTTTCTAAGTGAAGTTTAGTTATTATCTCAAAAATCATTTTTTTTTCTGAACAGTTTCGAGTTTGGGGGAAGGGGCGCTTGTTTCCCACATTAGGCTGGATTAATTACTATTCAATAACACAGATCCCTGTTACGATTTTGTTGAATAAATCTCGAAGTATATACTGAAATACACCATTGGTCATGCACTGTTTGCACAAGAAAATAGTTGTTATAAGATCCCTGTTACGATTTTGCTGAGTAAATCTCGATGTATATACTGAAATACACCATTGGTCATGTGTTTGCACAAGAAAATAGTTGTTATATAATTAAACTTCCACTCTCGTTCATTTAGGACATAGGCAACGTAGTTTTTAACTTTATTTACTTATTTCCGTATAATTTAAAAGTTTCCATGATTGAAGGACCTTTGAGCAACTTTTATAATGCCTAATGATGCTGTACACTTCTAAATCAAATTTCGAGGGAAAAAACAGCTAAATTTGTATTTTTGTCAGTTTTTCTTCAAATAACAAAGATTGTTATCATTTGATCACTGTTGATATCTGTTCAAAACCCCAGTAATGAATGCTGATTTTTTTCTGTGAACGTCTGATGGTACTATGACTTAAAATAAGAATATCTTGAAGAATTATCAGTATAGGTAAAGTACATTGTAAGGTGCATGTACATGTATATTGCATATGACCTTAAGGAAACAAATAACCAGAGAAGGAGCAGTAAAATGTATTTGAGTTGAGGGTTGTTTACTTTGAGTGTGCTGTTAAGTGGAAGCAGAAGTTATTAATTAAGGTCTAAAAGATGAGAAAATTTTAAATTTTAAGATTAAACTAGACAAACAAATTAAACATTGTTTATTTCCTAGATTGCCCATCTGATTGGATTGAATATGATTTCCACTGTTACAAGTTTGTGTTTCATCCAAAGCGCTCATATATTGGAGCTCGAGAACTCTGCAAGGTATTTTAAATTGAACTGTCTGCTATGAACCTCATCAGATTCTGACATGATTGATTTATGTACAGATATATCACTGGTCAATAATTTGGAAGGGTTTGGGGTGGGGAAATATTTTTAAAACTCATTTAAATTGGGTATTTTCATGATATTCCAGAGGTTCTGTTTCTAGAAATGAGGCATTATACCTCTCATATTAAATGATGCTGTTAGTAAAAATTCAGTCTATTAACTTCCCATAGTAATTGCTTGATGCATTTTTTAGAAATTCAAGGAAATATAATTCTACTTTTCAAGAGCTCAGAAGAACATGGTCAATAATTTTGCATAACTATAATTGATTCTATATAATTTGATGCTAACATGTCATTCCATTTTGCACCACTTGAAAGTTAAGACATACATAATATGTATAAAGATGTGTAGTTTTACAAATCAGTATATTGAATGCAGACACATACATTTTAATTTTAAGTTCATTCAATAGTGACACCTTAATTTTCTGTTGTAGGAAAATGGAGCAGAAGTTCTGAGTGTGGACAGTGTTGCAGAACACACATTTGTTCGTGGTTGGTTACTCGACTTTGACATGGAGAGGCAAGTACCCTGTACAAGTGTATTAATGTGAATAATAAAACCTCATCAGATTTATGCTGATTAATTATTTACTAAACATAATGGAGGTCAGTGTAAACTGTTATCATGACCTGAATTAAATATTGATTGAATTTCAGTTTCTGTAATTTACTTTTCATACTAAATGATTATTACTACAGGGACTGCATGAGATGACTACTGTGATAAGATGTGTCCATTTAAAAAATTACACTTTCAGAAACAGTTGGTACACCAGTGGAGCTGTTTCCCTTGAGGAAGATAATTTCCTAAACTTTGAAAATTTTGACACACAGTTGAGTGGAAATATACAGTGGTCAACATACTCTGATGACAACCACCAGGGATTGCATATCATCTACGAATATTCTGGTAGAACTGCTTAGTGTAGTTTTAATGACTGACTGCACAGTTCACTATATTGTGCACATCATACTAGGTTGTAAAATTGTGCAGAACTACTTTACATATATATCATTCACAATGTTTTTTAGGTTTATAACTTTTACAAAGAGGTCATTAGACACTTTAGTTAAATAAAAGCAAAATATGATAACTTTGGTACCATTTATCACAATAAATGATCAAATAATGTGCAGTCTTTAATGACATTATAAGCAAAGACTTTGTGCTTGTGGTGAATTGATCTTGTATTTTATGTACAGAAGGACAATACAGCTGGGCTAAGGGAGATGGCAGTAAAATGATGAGCTACATTTGTGAAATTCCAAAGAATGAAGTCTACAGAGTAATACAGAATACAAGAGACTTCAGTAAGATTGATATAAATGTCCATGCTGTGACATGTTTAGTTTCAGTCACCATTCTCATTCATTCTGTAGCACCTGACCTCTCCTTCCCCCCTTTTTTGCCCCCCCCCCCCCAAAAAAAAGTTTTAAGAGAACAGAATAATTACAAAAATTAATGCTTCTTTATAACAGCATATGGAACAGACTTTCCAGATGAGGAATCTGCACCCAGAGGTCCAACATTCTATTTACTCCCCTCAGACACTGAAATTCTAGGATCCACCTCAGAAGTTTACCTAGAATGTGCTGCTACTGGGCTCCCACAGCCCACATATCAGTGGACTGTTACGAGGGATAATGGGCAGGCTCAGTCCCTGGAGGGTCCACGGTACACAGTGACTAATGGCAGAGTCAGCATTGACAACCCACAGGTGACCATGGATGGAGGAGAGTACCAATGTATGGCTCAGAATAAGTTTGGAATTATTCTCACCCCACCTGTGGTGCTGGCCTTTGCAGGTTTGTGACTGTCATTTCATGGATTTTTTTTTACCTCATGATATTATAGCTTAAGGAAGGTCATTTTTATGCATTTAAACATTTCTCATTTAATACTTTGATTAAAATGTTTATTTTGCAACATTTTCATGTCTTCAGGAGGTACATGCTCAAGTGAGCTACATGTATGCAGGTGTACAATAGTAAATATTTTTTAACAATTATTAGCCCATGTCAAAGATTTTGGAGCCCATTTTCCAAGTAGTTGTAAGGCTTACCGTACGTTGTCCGAAATTGCATGGCTGATACTTCTAGGAATACCAGATTAAACTTTTTAAAGCATGTTTATTCCCCACCAAGTATAATAAGCCCAGCTGGGACCAAATTTGCATGTCCAATCATGCATTAATGAGATGCAACACCAACAGACTTGCTTCACTAGGGTGCTGCTTCTGATCTACTTGTATATTCTATGTCTTGAACAGATGAATGATTTGCCAGAAAATGTTTTTTAGAGGTCCAAAGTAAATATAAGCCCTACTTGAACCAAAGTTGCAAGGGCTTTTAAAACTTGGCACATTTACATACATGTTTAGTTTAATCCATTCCTTTTATTTGATATTTCAGATGACCATTCTTCTAACCTCAAGTTTGTGTAATGTGTAATCTGCTTCTAAATTAATTGTTTAGCTGTATCCGCTCCTTTAAATGATTTGTTTGCTTGTCAGATATTTACTGATGCAGCAGGCTAATTAATTACAGATTTAGGAGAATTTTCCAATGTTGATACAGCCCCTGTACGCCCTGCAGAATACCAGGGAACATCCATACAGTGTCCAAAGATATCCTCTACTTCCAGTCTAGGTAAGTTTCACTACCAAACAAAAGTTGAAACTTAAAAGCTAAAAAAATGTTTCTAGATTAGGCCATTTTTAAAATATGCTTGCTTGCCATCTTCCAACTCAGGGTGAAAAAATGGAGTTGGCATAGGAAGAGAAAATTTTTTTTTTTTTTCAGAAATTTTTGGCATCAATGTTTAATTTTCAAATTTTATTGAAATTGAAAGTATTTATAAAATTAAAATAGTTGTTAATGGGTTGATATATTCTGGAATGAATAAATATACAGTCAAATCTGTTATCTCAAACTCAATGGGACCAGGAAATAACTGAGATATTTGAGGATTCAAGACATCCCAAGTGAAATACTTAAGAATAAGGGGTTGGGACTTGCAAATCACTTTGACATATCCATGGTATTCTAGATGTCAGTGTTTGAGATACTGTCAAGTTCAACTGTAATTGTTTCCTGGAGGTTCAAATAGATTTTTGAGCTGGGCTATTTTTAATCAGTCAGCCAGGAGAGGGAAGACAATTCTTTACTGATGGCGATATTCAAATCCAGTAAAGAAAGAAAATGGCAGATATTTTTTAATTTTAAGAACATCCAATTTCTGTTTCATTTGATATTAACAACCAAGGTTACTTGAAAGTGTTTTTTGAAACATCTTCTAGGAAACTGAGTATTACCTCTGTCTTCTATGTATTACATAAATACATGTATTAATTTAAATTATTGTGGCCAAAGTTTTTCTTTGTGATAACTCATTTTCAACATGGGTAGCTGTCATATATTTCCCTTGGATAAAAATCCAACACAAATCATTATTGTTTGCTTACATCTGGAGAATACATGTAAATTATGTATTCATTTAATTTGTCTTGGGTCTAATATAAATCTCAAGAAATCTAAAATCTAGCTATTACAAAATTGTGTCTTTGACTGTTAGATTCCTGTTCATTGTTATTTCATGACATCTAAAGGCAGATCACTAAGTGCACAAAACTACCATAAAATTAGAACTCTTATTATAGTGTGTGGTGTTAAAAACTTTCTTAAATTAAGGTTAGAGGTAGGCCAGACCAACTGTTACAATAAAAAGTGATTTGTACTCCGACCGAGCAGTGAAAATCACTCCTACCTGATCATTTATTTATTTATTTTTTTTCAGTGCTTTAAATTTTAATTTTTTTTCTTGGTTGTCTGCATTTTTTGAAATTAAGATTTATCATTCATCAAAGAGTTGTACGCTTCCTAGATTGAAAGTTTTTACCAGTATACATTGTTACAGTACTGAAAACATCAATAAATTTCTTGATTTTAATGACGATAAACAGTGTGTTACAAAATGTCAAATAAAAAATATTACCTACCTACCAACCTTGAAAAATATAGGTTGGAGTACATCAAACAAAAATTTAATGATAACCTCATAATGCATGTAAATGGAAATATTGGTTCAATAATTATTACCAATTCTTAAAAGTAAAATTTTTAATTAAACATATAATGTGCTTTAGCTTGTTCACAAATGTTTACACAGCCAAAAATTAATTGTTGAATGTCATGAGATCTACAAACTTTTATTTTTTATGTGCTATTACATGTAAGAATTACGAAATGTTAACCACACCACCTTGCATATACTGGTGTCATGGTTCTTTCTTGTGTATCTTACACATAATCAAGACAAATGGGCCTGAATGACCAGTCCTAACATATTTATTAGTCCAGAGTGTCGCATGAAAATCTGCAGGATTTCATGCCCATGGACTAAATTATAAAACATAACTTTTGACTAGGGCATGGTATTGGCTGGGAATTTCGTTTTGCGATATACTGTGATATTTTTAACTGTATTGAGATATGTATTTCAATATTTTCAATAACAGTTTAAATGATCTTTTCTTATTTTATTAGCCTCCATTTAGATGCAGAGTGTATATAACTATTATAAATACGTTGTAACAAGAAAGTTCTTGGTGATTTCACTACAGTTTTGCAATGAAATGCAACCATACAACAGCAACCTTACTGTTTGGCATAATTGAAAAATTTTTCTGACATCTTAATTTTCATATTTTACTTTAGAAATCCCAAGCGCAAGCATTTTGCCGGTATATTGGATGGTACTGAGAATTTCTCAACGAATAGCAATATACCAGAATATCGTTATTATTGTGCAACCCTAACTTTGACCAAGCAGAAATAATTTTAAGTCTACAATATCTTGCATTTCATCCAGATTGAATAATAATGCTGTTAAAATATACATATTTTTTTATCTTATCTACAGCTATAAGTTACAACTGGATTAAGGACCAGACGAAGCCAGTAAACTCTCAGTTAACGCCCTATGTGTTTATCTCGGGAGATGGACAGCTTTATTTCTCCGAGGTGACCCGAGGGGATAACGGAGTATACTACTGCATGGCTACCCTGACAAATCCCACCAACAGAGACAACTACATGGGGTCTTTCCAGTCTCCCAGTCGCATCAGTACAGGGATTCCATTAGAAGTTTTAGGTTCTCGTAAGTTAACAGCTCGATCCTTCATACCTGAGGTGTTTGAAGAAGAGACTCATGTTGAGATCATATTTTTTTCAATACAAAGTAGAATTAATTATTAAGAATATTTAGTTTCGTAATGCAGTAAAACATACGTATAGTGAACATGCTTATAATGAATTGACTCTTACAGTGAAGCGATTTTCATTCCCTGTGGCTTTAAAATATATTGTGAAGAACTTGCTAATGGATATAATGAATTACTTTTTTAACAGTGCAAAATCGTCCGTCCCTGGCACTTTGTAATACTGCATATTCATTAATTTGTAGCTTCAGGAATATTGAGTGTTCAGATCCCTGACAGTTTTGTGCAGGTATTTCCAAGGCAACCAGTAGTAGGCAGTGATGTAAAGTTGGAGTGTTTCGCATATGGAAGGTATGTGTGTGTTTCCATATCCTTGAATTTGATATAAAGATAGTAAATAAATGATATTTTGTAATGAGTTCTGAATATTCAAAAATGTTCAATTATTGTTTGAGGGTAGTCGCATGAAATTTATGTCTCTTCTCAATCTGACAGAGGCATGGTAGTTGAGAAGAGTTGTCATTTGTTTTATTTGTCATCAAATATCACAAATATTATTTCCTATGTAGCTTGTAACACAAGCTTTTGTAACGTGTTTTGGGTCCGATGATTTGGACCAGTCTGGGAGGATGTATAAAAATGATCAAAATTACAAGAATTATGTACGGAAGCTAATATAAGAACGAGTCAATATATACATATATCTAGGGTTATCTATCACTTTAACATAAAAAAAAAAAAAAATAAAAGGTAATTTCTTAAGGACAGGGCTCTGTCCTGGGTATCTGTCTGTGGGACGTGTCTCTGGGATGTGTTCTATAGGCTGTGTCCCAAGACGGTTGTGTCCTTTTGATCTTACACAGGCTGCAGCCAGGTACTAGATATATATCCACCGCTCGTATATACAGTTAAATGCCACTGTATTTTCCGTAACAAGCTAGAAAACACAATACAACACTGGGCAGTTGTATTTAACACTATAATTCTTTTTATTAACTCTAACCACCGTACCTGTTAGCAACCTTCTCCTTCGACAGCCAAACACAGAATGACAATTTTACCTCGGATGCGCTCTTATATATACACCAGCGACACCCGGACTAACCTCGGCTTCCATCATACCCCTAATGATAAAGCCCGTCTATAATTGAATCCCGAGCCCAATCGTCATACTTTGATTGGTTTCAAAGCCGGGTGTAAATTTCTGTACCCCCGACTTGAGCCAGAGGTAAATAACGTGACGTAACAATGCATAGTTTCTCTATGATAAAAAGCAAATGACAGGACTTCACCATGCATTGTAGCACGTAGTAAATCTTATCAATAGGCTGAAACACAGTTGATTGGACTTATGTTTACAAAGAATATATTTGGTTACATAGGTAATAAATTCGTTATCCAGGTCCAATCAAGGGTGAACGGGGATTTACCTTTGCCTCAGGGTGTATGGAATAAAACCAAGGGTAAATCCCCGTACACCCTCGATTGAACTTGGATAACTAATATTGTTCATGATCTAAAGGGTCAAGTAATCAATGTGAAACTCATGGGGCAATTACAGGTATTAGAAATAGGGACATCTGAAAATTAAAAATAATGAAAACAAAGTTTGAACATCTGAATGCAGTGCCTGTCATGTTAAGTCAAATGTGATCTAACAAAATTTAATGCCGTTTTGAATTATCATATCGTATGACATGGACTTAAAATAGTGGTATATTTGTAGTGGTCCTTTATTGTATCAGTGGAATGTTCCATCTGTGAGAGACCAGAGCACCAGATTTAAGTACATGGACAATAATCGAGTGCTGACCATTGCTGGGGTCACTCTCCAGGACACAGGGGTCTACACATGCATCTGTAGCAGCAGGCGGTCAGGCAGCAGGGACCAAAAGGATTTCCACCTTAACATAGAGTGTTGGTATTCATTAATGAAAAATGTTATCACAACTTAAGTAAAGAAAAGATGTCTTTAATTTAGTATATATGATTTTAACCTTTAATAATTGAATATATTTACATTTAATATGTTCTTCTACTAAGCCAACTGTGAAATTGATTTGAGTGCCATTTTCATGTATGCTCACGCGTAGAAATATGCACGGAGAAACTTGCTCTAAAGTGACATCACAATGAGCTACAGAGACGTTAATAAAAATGTAACGATATAGGGCAGCGAATAATTCAAACATGGAGTATATTTTTTGTGCTTTTGAACATATAAAATGTAAATTTTATATAAGGAATGTTTTTAAGTTTAGTGTGAATTATTTGTGTGTAAATCACACAGACTTGCACGTAGGCATATTTTTCATGAAGCACTAGCTTTTTGTAATTCTTCATTTTTTTTTTTGATAAAATTTTGATCACAAGTTGATTAATTCATGATCTAGGGAGGAAAAAAGTTAAAAAAGAACAAATTTAAACCAAACAAACCCAAAACGTTTTAACATTTAGATGTAGATCCTGAATGTTATTGATATTTCAAAGTCATTTAAAAGACATCTAAATATATATATGCATTTATTTATAAACATTTGGCAAATGACTTTTTAATTTTAAAACAAATGCTTGAGCAGCTGGCTAAACCCATTAGTACCATACTATTTTGGATTTTTATGCCCTTGCCACATGAAATGGCCGGGGCATATAGTGTTACCCTGCTCCATCATTCTGTCATCATTGACTTTCCGTTCATTATCTCGGCAACAGTTGCACACATTCAACTCAAATTTGACATATGGATATGTCATAGTAATACACAGGTCAAGTTTAAATTTGGTCACTGAAATTTTCAGTTTCCGCACTGTAACTTTTGTAGGGATGTATGTATAAGATTGAAATTGCTTATGCAGGTATTTTATCAGAAAATACAGGTCAAGTTCGAATTTGGTCATGGTCCAATGATTTTTGACAGAGTTATCCCTCTTGAACTTAGAAAAAAATAAGAAAGTTTCCACTCTCTGACTTGTAGGGATGTATGTATAAGGTTGAAATTGCATATGCAGGTATTTTACCAGAAGATATGGGTCATGGATAATTTGGTCATGGTCCGATGATTTTTGACAGTTATCCCCCTTGAACTTAAAAAAGATTTAAAAATACACCCTTTCTAATCATTACCTTGGCTACTACAAGTGTGCAAGTTACAATTTGCAGTTTCTATTTATTGTAGTTATAAATGCACATTTTGTGCATGGTATTTCAAATTTTGGCTGCTGGCAAGGGCATTTGCGGAATCACAACACATTTAGTTATCCAAGATTGAAAATAATATTAGGTCCATCTGTCTGTCTGTCTCTCCACAATTCTTACAATGAAAGTCATTTAAGAACGTGAAAAAATCTTCATATTTTATCAGATTCAAATCAAACCTAAAGTTTTGAAGGTTGAATAGAAATTTGCCTCTTTTGTAGGCTTTTTGTTTATAATTACCTAATTTTTTGAAAAAATTCTCTTTGCAGCAAAGCCTATGTTTTCCGTAGAACTGAGTGACCAGCATGCTGACAAGGGGTCGGAGCTCACATGGAGATGTCAGGCTTATGGAATTCCGCAGCCCACTTACACCTGGTACAGGAATGGTCAGCTATTGCCCAGTACTGGAGAAATGACCATCACAGGGAATGTTCTGGTAATCCATATTCTCAAAGAGGACCAGGAAGGGATGTATCAGTGTATGGCAAAAAACACCCATGGAGTGTCCACTAGTGGTGGTCAGCTGAGGGTTCTGTGTAAGTGCCCCCTTCTCTCTCTCTTTCTCACACACACACAGCTCCTTTAATCCTTTTTCCATTTCCACATCCAGGGAGATAATCCAATTAAAAATTTTATTTAATTGTTTATGCCAATGGCATAGAGAGGGCTTAATGATTTTTGTTTGTTTGTTTGTCCATAACTTTAACATTGTACGCAAAGAGACTTAAGGGTCTTTACGAGGGTTGTCCCATAAAAACGCGAACATTTTTATACCCCCCGCAAACGAAGTTTAGGGGGGGTATATTGGAATCAGCATGTCCGTCTGTCTGTCCGTCTGTCTGTAGACGAGATTTTGTCCAGACCATTTCTTGGAAACTGTTGGAAGGATTTGTCTGAAAATTTGTACACTTATTATTCACCATATGAAGGTGTGCACCTGGTATTTTCATTATGATTGGATAATTATTTTGCCTTTTACAGGAGTTTTTTTCATTTTTATTATGTGGTTTTGTCTGGATCTGTCCCCAGAGACTATTGCATAGATTTGTATGAAAATTTGTACACTTATTATTTACCATATGAAGATGTGCACCTGGTATTTTCAACATTATTTGATAATTTTTCTGCATTTTACAGGTGTTTTTTTTTTAATTTAATTTATTGACTTAGTCATTTTGGGTTCATGTCTAAGGTTTGAGACATAGAATCTAGAACATCTGTACAAAAATGTGAACTACAGCTTAAAACTACTCATTAGAACTAAAAAAACCCCACAAAGTATTAAAAACAGTTTTTACATTACACAGCAGATAGTGTAAATCCATTTGTCCCTATAAGTGGACATGCATCCAGATAAAGATTAATTAATGAGTTCAGTGTGCAGTGATTTTTCTACACTCAATTTAGGTCCGAATATCGGCCCTTTCCCCTCTTAAAAATTACCGATTTTTTCCCAATTTTCAACTGCTTTTTTCCCAAAATCAAAACGTATTGTTTTGGTTTAATTGAATTTTTTATGTACGACTTATCTAAAATGGAACGCTATTGTTTTTGGTCATTCGGACGCTTAAAATAACGGCGAAAAACAGCAGTTTAATTGTGTGTTTGCAAGACTTGGAAAATCGATCATGTGGAAGTCAAACTTTTGTGTCAATACATCGTAAGAAATTTAAATATGCATGTGAATCTGTTAAGCATAGCTTTATTTGTAATTTGCAAGTACTAGTAGTTCTACAACAAGTGTCCTTGATTTCACGAAAATTAAACTGTTTCTTCATCCTGCAGAGACTGGCATTGCAGAGAAATATGCGATACAGCAATACATGCTTGTAAATAGTGTCAAGATTATTCCATCTCCAATGCGAGCAATAACGAGAAATCGGGAATGATTTTTTTTTCTCAATTTATAATTCTACCATAATGGTAAAAAAAAAGAATATCTATAGGACAATCAAAATACAAAAATGAAAGAAAATTAAAATGTAGAACTGTCAATTTTGTTGAACTTGAAAAATTTTGTAGCAAATAAATTCAATAAATGATATTACATTTACTTATTATTTTATTTTACTTGTCAATATGAAGGTTAATTACAATCTTATTGTTTTTTTCCCAATTTGACACAAATGTCGACAATTTTTCCCAATTGAAAAGGCACAGGCCCCTTTTAAAAATTGTAGAAAAATCACTGAGTGTGGGAAGCTGTTAGGGCATCTCTGATCAAGCAGGTCTTATCTATATCTCAGGGGAATTGGGCAGAAAGAAATAAAGATCTCTGTTGTGAAGTCTCTTAATTGTAATTTATGTCTGTCAAAATACATAGTTACTAAAACCAGCCTTTTATTTTTAAAATGAGTTTGATATAAAGGTATTAAAATCAATTTGATTTTCTATAATTAATTATGATATTCTTTTTTTCAACAATCAATTTGCAGAGTGTCATGTCTCACAAAGATGGCAGATAGTTGCAAACTATTTTTTCAATGTAATAAAAAACACTGTAATTATTAGTGTTGATGTTTTATTAGGCTGCACCTTAGTTTCATTCATTATATAAAGTGCCCCACCACAGCATGATACGCCCATCAAATATTGTTAAATTATCATAAACAGTTTAGATTCAATTGTTTGAATGACATCTTAGCGAGACAAGGCAGTCTGCAATTTGTTGTAAAGATATAAAAATTCAAATAAAAAATGTACAATAAATAATTAGTTTAAATTATATTATACAATATCATATAACTTTTAATTATTATATACAATATCAAATTAGTTTTAATTACATCAAATTTATCTTGAAAGTAAGACTAGCCAACAAGAACAATTCAATATAACACAAGCAATTAATTAAGAGACTGATTCCTTTTGCCCAATTCCCAAGAGATGTAGATAACACCTGCTTGATCAGAGATGCTCTAGCAGTTATCTCCTCACACTAAACTCATTAATTTCTCTCTAATTTGACATGCAATTTTCTGCTATCAAAATTTTCCTTGACCAGTGCCTGATCATTACACCCATGGGAGAGGTGGAATTTTTGTTGTTACAGATTGCTGTAAAGAACATAATGAAAAAAATAAGACTAGTATTTTCTTGATTTAACACTTTTTTAATAAAGATACTGCAATACTCTGACATCTTTTGGGACTGTGTAAAGTTAAAAGACATAGTTTTTTGATTCTAAGTCTAATGGTTTTCTAGTTATGATTTTTCCATATCTGGCCATAGCGTCTTTATTAAAGGTCAGAGCGACCTGGTTTTAATGTGGGACACACCTTCTACCCTAGATGTATCAGCTGTCAAAGTTAGATAATTCTAGGCCTAATAGTATTAAAGTTATGAGCCGGACATGAAAAAGCTAACGGACGGACAAACATGAACGCTATAACATAATACGTCCCGTCGTAAGACGGACGTATAAAAATATATAATGAGTAATTAAATTTTCACTGTAAATGTTTAAGGAAATTGTGAACACCTCTCACATCTAGAAAACATTAGTGATTTGGTACTTTCTCTGAAAAACCCAGCGGGGGGTATTTGTCCCTTTTGGACAGTTCTAGTTAATATTTTTTGTTTCACTAATATTATAAAGTTCAAAATGGCATGCATTAAAATCAGCATTTTTTAAATAATTCACAGAAATTTCAGTAAAATATATCTGTAAATAACATTTTTGTCTTTGGTAAACAAATCATTCAAAATAGCTGCCGGCACCACACCGACGACATCAAAACGTAGCTTGTAGAGTTTTTTAATTTGTTCAGAAATCTTGTGTCTTTAAAAATTCGTTTGAAGCATAATTAAGTTTGATACTGGATTTAATTTTCTTTTAGTTACCGAGTTATCCATTTCACACTTACTACAGTTAAGAATAAATCAAGGAATAAATTCTTTAAATGTATGACGTCCAGCTCTAGCCTTTTTAGTTTGTAGTCATTTGTTGGTGAACCAAATGCTTCCCGCATTGGATAACCAGTCTATTCATCTCTGGGCCTCTTTTCCTATGTATAAACCTGTGATTGATACATGTATTTGTGTTGTTCCCTTGTTCCCAGCTCTTTTTTCCATATGGACAGGAGTCAAATCCTGCTCCACACAACACTAAGTGATAATTTGGTGCGCCACATTAACGCTTGACGTCACTGTTTTTGGCAATATCTAATTAATAGTGTTTGTGCACATAACATCATATTTTTGTTATTTATGATGTCAGAGTATTGAATTTTTACACACGAGTACTCTAGATAATAAAGTTTCTATGGATATAATTTTTGTCACATTATATTTCTGTATAGCCTGGTAATAAAGAAAATATTGCTGTCAGTGCTATTTTTGAATGTCAAGAAATTGCTGTGCGCCGACCACCGATATTTAACACCCTTTAAATGTTGTTAATAAATGCAAATGGCATTGGAATCTTATTTTAATTAGCCAAAATGACAAAAATATCATTTACCAACACTATGCCAAAAATAAATAATTTTGGTCAGGTAATTTATGAAATATTTAAAAAGTTCACGTTTTTCTGGGACAACCCTCGAATATGCAATGAAGACCAAGTTCAAACCTAAACTTCAAATTAAAATTTGGCACTATGGACATTTCCTACAGTCTGGAGCACATCTCATCTAATGAATGTCTTGTGTAGGTGTAATAAAGCTTTTACAGAAAATGCCACCACTTAAGTGTAATTACTGTAGCATTTGATTCCGTTTTTGTTAAACATGATTATTTGTATTGTGGATATCATATTCTGGTTATCATCTTTTACAATTTTTAAAAACTAAAGCAAATTATGATGGTTTCATCAAATTGGCCTAGGCCTTGATATTTGACTTTGAAACTGGTAAAAATATTGTAAAAACACATATTTTCATGGGGTCAAATTTTCGCGTTTTTGGGAAAATTTTTTTTGTGGGAATTTGATTTCATCATGTTCATGCAGGAAGAAGTGCTGAGTTGTTATTTATTTGAAATTTAACATTTCATGGAGGACTTGAATTCATGGGTCTCTTCATACTACAAAAACAACAAAAATTAACCCCCCCCCCCCCAGCAAAAATTTGTGACTTTACTTTATATACAGGCATTAACCTCTTCAATGGGAAACTATCATAATTTTTGTCTTCAAAATCTATGAATAGATAAATTTATATTATCAAATTGAATACAAGTATACAAGATATGATTTTGTGTGCTTCAGTCTCCATGCTTTGTAGCTGGTGACTAAATGCTGATGATTAACAACAGTAGAGTTTCATTTTGCAGTCTTTCCATATAATCTGTTACATTTTCATATTCTTTCATTTATAAATAGTATGTATCATACATTATTTTAGATAAAAGAAACATATTTTTATAAATGATTTTCACAAATATTTCCTGAATTACTATTTTGATAGGAAATGTATTATTCTATAGAATGAAGCCGAATATTGCCGAGTCGTAGACAAATACAGATAGTCACATATCCTCTATATTAAAACAGGAACATCAACATCTTAGACATTAGATTATTTATACACTAGACGAGAAATCACACTGATGTCTGGACTGTTGATGGATGTACAGCAGACAAACTTCTGCTCCAAGAGGAATGGCCATTGTTGGGTTTTGTATACTCGATGACCTTGACCTCTCCTGTTTTATATGACCCCACCCACAACCTTCCTTCTTCATCAATGCTCAACCCTGTTGGCTGCTCTAGATGACAATCATCTATACATTTCAGAAACTGGCCATTCTGATCCAAGACATGAAGACAATCATTCATCTGGTCAGTCATGATGATGTGTCCAGAGGAATCGGTCACAACCTGACCAGGAACAAATGGTTTAGACCTTCTTGCATGTGTGCCATTGTATCTAAACTTCTCTTTTCCTTTGTTGTCCACAACTAGCAACATTTTTGCGTTAAGATCAGCAGCACAGACATCTCCATTGACATTCTCTGTAATGTAAATGGGACGCTCTCCTCCTTTGAACAGGGGGTTTTCGTAGTTGAAATCTTTTTCAATCTCCTGTTTCACTTCTAGCCCTTGATATCGTACAATTTTGTGATGTCTGTTATCAGCTGTAAACATCCCAACCAGAATGTCACCTGACCTGGTGAAACAAAGTGTGTATGGATACCATTCCTTGGGGATAGGAAGTAAAGTTTCACTTATCCCCTTCCGAACAATATTTATAGTTCTGTTATTGATATCACTGTAAAGAAGTTCTCCATTCTTAGTAACTGCAATGTCTCCAGGAAAATACTTACAGGTGGCAGTCACAGCCTCTTTCTGGAACCCATGTAAGTCAATTCGGCATATATTCTTGCTTTCTCCACATATCCAGGCTTCATGTGTTCCAAAGCAAGCCACAGCATTCAGATTATTAACTCTGGTTGGAGTCTTGGATATCACTTTAGATTTGTTAAGCAGCTCGACACCTGGCAAGGAAGAACTTGCAGTTCCTTTTGTTGAATTGGATATCACAATAGCCCTGTGTAGATGCATTTTGTTAGGCAATGAGAGAGAGAAAATATTCTTTCTTGATGGTGGACTGGATACATTGTGGGCTTTATCAAGTACCTGTGGAACTGGTTTCAAGGAGAGAATGTCTGCTTGTGATTTACACGTACCATTGATGCTGTCTGGCAAATCTTGAGATGACAATGTAGAGTCAGCTTTCACTGCTATTGGAATATGGGGGTTTATTTGACATTTTTTGAAATCTTCTTGATTTGGAATACAAGCAGTAGCTTCAGTATGGTCATTAACTTGCTCATCACTCTGTGTCAATGATGCCTTGATTTGGCCGATCTCTAAAAAGAGTTCTTTCCCTTTTTTTATGCTTGTTTGAATGGAAGTAAATAATATATCTGTGATGGAAGTTCGTTTGATGTAGTCTTTCAGTTTAGACTGGTACTCGGTAACAGTAGAGGCTTGTTTTGACATTAAGATATCTTTGTTCAGCTGAACAGTGCGACACATCTCTTGGTGCAACTGTTTTAGTTTTGTCTGTTGCCATTTTAGAGTTGCAATATATTTTTCTCTGTCACTGTGAATCTTACTTTTGACTTTATTGAAGAAGCCATCTACCTCCTGGTGCCATATTCTCCTCTGAATTTCTGCCTCTCGGTGTATTTGTTCATATTTAACTTGAGCCTTAGATATTTTGGAAACAATTTCTTCATTTTCCTGTTTACAACGAGGTATGACTACTTTCCTGAGCTCTTCCATATCGGACCTTATTTCATCTCTTTTTAAGCAGACTAGCTGAGCTATTTCCATCAGTTTGTGATGACTGTGGGACTTGATCACACATTTCATACAGACTGGGATTTCACAGAACTGGCAGTGGGCCTCACAGATCTGGTTGGGGTGGAGAGAGCATTGAGGAAACATCAACTCATTTCTGTCTTGGAATAGCACTATTTCATGTGTCCGACACTTCTTTCCGTCTAAGTGTTTGTTGACACAGGCCTTACACAGGTTGACTTGACAGTTGTTACAGAATTTCTGAGGAGTGGCTTTTAAACAAATATCACAGGTGATGACTTCCTGTGCTATAGAATGTTCCATTTTTATTTTGGCAGGAGAATCTTAAATAAGAAATTTGAATAAATGTATTCTAATGGATTGCTGCTAAAAGTACATATGTGCTATATGAATGAATCATAGCATAAAACCATGAATGGCTTAACCGAATATTGGAGTAGAGTGAGTAATTGTCTTGTGATATACACAGCTCAGGTATTTTTTACTTCTTTAAAATTCCCCATAAAATTGACACATTAATATTCACAAGTTATCTTTTCTTAAGAAATCTTTTCTCTTGGACAAATTACCATAAATAAACAAACCAAACATTTAAATTCAAGGTAAAGATAAATTAAGGCCAGATATATACATTACCTTATTGTTATTCAGGTGTCAAATGCTAGAACTTAAATTTCATGCTATTTTGACCACAGTAATAATTTCCATTGCTCAGAAATGTAATGGTGAGGTTATCCTTACAAGTTTACAGTGTTTTGCAGTTGCGCATTTAAATGACATAATTATCATAGCCTTTATCAGTGAGTTTGCATGCACTTGTCACCGTGGAAAGCCCATTGATTTTCTGATACCAAAAAAAAAATTGAGTTAGATGCACTTTTAATATGGCATTTGTGTATTGAAACAGATAAGGGTGGATTCATAAAAAAATACTTTTGAACAATTTTACACAATTTTTTGGAATATCATTTAAATTTGAGATACATGTACCGGTATATAATTTTAAGAAGGGGAAGGAGGATGGTGTTACATGTATATGCAAGGATCGAGACTTGTTATTCAGCAAATGAAAAATGTAAGGCCAGACAATAAATGTAGCAAACTTTTTGAAAAACTCAGGAATTATGGAGTGGGTTGGGGAGATGTGTGGGTTGAAATTTTACATGGGAACAAAGCAGAGCCACATCATATACTGTAAATCTACCATTGTTTGTAATGACTTTTATTCTTGATTGGTCACTTTGAAATCCATCCATTACTATTAAAATCTGTGGTTGAGGACATATATTCCGCCAAAATAAATAGTTTGTGGGATGAAATATTAGCAAGTATAATAAGGTAATGAAACTTATGATGATATTTCTCACACATGATTAAAACTTGGTTGACAGTACATGTAGTAGTCATACTGATTGGCAAGCATTTACACAGAAGTATATTAAAAATGTCAAGCTGTGTGAAATTGGAGGCCATCATAACTGTATAAAATTAAACCTGAAATCATCATTTACTTATATGGACTTGAATGTTTATCCTATAGTACTAGGGAAGCCACGCACTGTGGTAATTTATAAAGTCATCAAAAATCTTTGGGAATGAATTCTCAAGTTCATGATGTCACAATGAGCTAAAAAAGTTAGATTTGATTTTTTAATTGAATGAAAAAATACATACAAATTCTTTTTAAAAGATCCATCTCAGCAATAAGGATTTTTAAGATACTCTATAATTGCATAATTATAATAATGTATAATATACATGTACTAGATAATTACTTGAATATTTGCATTTTACACAGCTATTCCTCCAACATTCAAAAAACACCCCTTACAATCCACCACACTTGGATCATTGGGAGGATCCTTGACTATTCTGTGTCATCCCGAGGCTGCCCCCCACCCTAACATCACCTGGCTGTATAATGGAGAGATCATTCCTCATCCACTGAAAGGGACCCCATCTCATCTTCAGCCACTGACCAGTGGTCATTTAAGGATTGTCAATCTGAGTTACACAGATGAGGGAGGGTACACTTGTAAAGCTGTTAATATTCATGGCTCTGCACAGAGCTTTACTCAGTTGACAGTGTTAGGTAAGTTTTCTTTTGTTTTTGAAGATATTCCAGCATATTCTAGTATTTCATTGAAACTTTTCTTGAACTAAGGAGGGTGATCTGAGGTGGAGTTGAAGAGACCAGGTTAATTTAGATATCCCTTCCTTTGGCCCCCTCTAGAACATTATCAGAGATGATTCTGATTTCTTTTAGGGGGAGAGAGGGTTTTTGAAAAATATATAAGTATATATTAAATATATAGAAATCCATAAACTTTTTTTGGCAACACATTTAGTACAGTACAATATATTTAAAACATCCCTGTAGATTACATTTATGTATGTAAAGTATGTATGCTGTAATTTACAAAGCCACCTTGTTATATTTCAGACAGGACATTGATTGTGGAGCGGCCTTTAGACAGCACTGTAGTGGTCAATAGAACTGCCGTACTTCTCTGTCGGGCCTCATACAGCTCTAGTCTTGACCTCGTGTACACCTGGTCTTTCAATGACCAGAAAATTGACTTCCACCAGGATACACACTTTAAAATGGTATTAACTAAAAACTGACACTGGTTTGTTTGAGTAAACACCTATTTATGGTCTTAGTAAGCTGATTGATGGTTGAAAAACATTGGATGGGAGTAAATTACCATCTGTTTTATGATATTGAAAAGGAGCCTTGATAGATTTATGATACCTTCCTTACAGAGAAGTCCATACACAGGAGATCTGTATGTTGTGGCAGCTCAATTAAGTCATGCTGGTGTGTACAAATGTATGGCCACTACGCAGCTGGACTCTGCTAGCTCATCAGCTGCTCTTCATGTTCTGGGTAATTATAACTCTTAATAATTTAATTCTGGTTATAATGCAGTATTTGATTGGAGGAAAAATTGACTTTATATCGTATAAATTGGATTGCCTACGTCACAGTCGCGTCAAAAACATATCGATCTGCCTGATGTTACATTTAAGTTTTGAACAATTTGAAGTCATTTTTAGCTCACCTGAGCTGAAAGCTCAAGTGAGCTTTTTGGATCACCTGTTGTCTGTCCGTCTGTCTGTCCATCCATCCATCTGTCCATCCGTCAGTCTGTAAACTTTTCACATTTCCAACTTCTTCTCAAAAACCACTGGGCCAATTTTAACCAAACTTTGTATCCAAACTTTGTATGGAAGCATCCTGTGGTAGTGTAGATTCTAAATTGTTCAAATCATGACCCCCAGGGGTAGGGCGGGGCTACAATAGGGAATCCAAGTTTTACATTGAAATATATAAGAAAAATCTTTAAAAATCTTCTTCTCAAGAACCACTGAGCCAGAAAAGCTGAAACTTATGTGGAAGCATCCTGGAGTAGTGTAGATTCTAAATTGTTCAAATCATGACCCCCAGGGGTAGGGCGTGGCCACAATAGGGAATCCAAGTTTTACATTGATATATATAGGAAAAATCTTTAAAAATCTTTTTCTCAAGAACCTCTGGGCCAGAAAAGCTGAAAGTTATGTGGAAGCATCCTGGAGTAGTGTAGATTCTTAATTGTTCAAATCATGACCCCCTGGGGGTAGGGTGGGGCCACCATGGACTATCAAAGTTTTACATAGAAATATGTAGGTAAAATTTTAAAAATCTTCTTCTCAGTAACAGCAAAACCCTGATTGATCATATTTATGTGGAAGCATCCTCAGGTAGTGTAGATTCAAGATTGTTAAAATGATGACCCCCTGGGATAGGGTCGGGCCACAGTGGGGATTGAAAATTTTACATAGGAACATATAGGAATATAATATATATAGCAGGTCGGAGATTATGGAGAAAGCAGAGCGTCTGGTTGAATGAAACTACCATAAGGATCAATGACATGTGAAGGCATTATTGGATAAGCAATCAATATATTAAGAATTTATCACATTGCAAATGCATGCAGTGCTTGTTATACACTTGTATATGTTATACACATACATGTACATACATGTTCATGTTATACACTTGTATAACATGAATAATAAATGACAAAAATTAGAAAAAAAATTACCGGTAGGAAGATTTTTTAATGAAGTTGATATTAAAATTCCTTTATAGATGCAGGTTACTGAACATAAAAGATATCATATTTCTTGACTGTCGTATGGCGAGACGTGTTTTGTAGAGAAACATTCTGGTCTTTTCATGAATGTGTTACTAATTGGAATAGTCCACTTTTGGGGTAAACAGGAATATAAAACACGTAGAAAAACTTAGCGAATTCACTGTTTTAGTGTTACTTGCTCATATACGATATGTTATATGTACAGTGTGATAAATATACATTCTTAAGCTCGAAAATCAGGCTATAAGAACACACTTTTTAAATTTTCATTGAAGTCATCACATACACTCACATTCCAAAGAAAAGGCGCTAAGATTTACTCATGATGTTTGGCGCAAAATAATGTATGGCCCACCTTTTATAGTAGACAAATGGACTGATGCAGTAGTGTAGGAGTACAGAAAAAGATTACATGGACATGTCTGTATTAAGAATTGCATGGAATAAAAAGTTGAATGCATAAAAAAAGGAAGTAAACACAATAGATTTTAATAGTTTTCATCATTAACAGATTATTTCTTCTGCTAACAGTTATTTTTAAAACTCAAGTAACAAATTCCAGGGTAAATCTACTAGTAGTTGCACATAATTTAGCTGGCTAGCTTTCATCCTAAACTAGTAATTCTGCATTATGGAAAAAAATTTAACCTACCTGACACTCGTTACTTCAGGCAATGAGTGCAAGATAAACATCGATGATGGCTGGTACATTGCGCTAGTGTAGTGGTTTCAATATTAAATGTTCATGCAGGTGTTCTTGGTTTAATCCCAACTGTATCTGATTTTTTTAGCTTAAATTTACATTTTCATCTTTATCAATGATGAGGTATTTTTTTCTCTTTGTGAACTCTGTGCTCCTTTTCATTTTTTTTTTTAAATAAAAAATCTTTTTAAAGACCCATGTTAAATTTTTAGGTGTCTTTACTACGAGCAGATATAAAAGTAATTTTACAAGCAAAGAATATCACATTTAAGGATGGTTATTCGGACGGAAGAGATCTCGTTGCTCGCAACGAATATCTAATTGTTATACCTTTCATGTTCTGAGTACTGTGGAATCATTTTAATTCGTGGGGGTCAATGTTCGTGGGTAAGCAAAATTTTGTTGGTTCGTGGGGACGTAATTTCGTGGGTAACTCGTATATACAGAAAATTCAATGAATAAATATGCTAACAAAATAATTGTTCGTGGGGATGTAAATTCGTGGATAAGGATGACCCACGAAATCCACGAACATTGGTCCCCCACGAACATTGATGATTCCACAGTAATCTGTATACATTTAACATTCTGAGTAATTGCGTTCTAGGTGATTGTTTGCTAGGGGATACTGTAGGTATGTTTGCAATACTAATTATATTAAATACATGTATGATATAAATTTTAAACAATAGGACCCCCTGGGGAGCCTGTGGGTGTCCATGTTATCAAGGGACAGGACTCAGTAGACCCATATGGATTACAGTTGGCTTGGCAAGATGGGGCCACCAATGGGAGACCTATACAGGCTTATGTAATCTCGGCCAAATCCAATCATTCAGACAGTAAATGGAGCGTCATTATGAGTGAGTTAAAAGTAATTTTTCTTTCAAATAAATGCATATTCACAGCTTTAAATTAAATTTATGTGTAGGTTATTTATCTGATTTTTCTTATGATCATTTTGAATTCCAATTCACTTCGATTTGTTCAAGATTGCAGTGGAAGAAATGGACAATTACATATAGTACATGTATTGCACCTGCTAAACAGATCGTAGCATTCAATTCAAACTTCATTAAAACAATATTTATTATTTAGCATAAATTTAAAGCTAAATTTGCTTGTCAGATAGTTGATAATTTTTGCTACTTTGCAATTATTAAGTACAGATGCACCTATCAGTTCTGTGATGGTAAAAGACACATTAAGGTTGGTCAGCATAAAACACTTAAATCCTGGATCCTCCTACCAGTTCCGAGTCCTGGCCATCAATCAGTTTGGAGAGGGATCACCTAGTACAACATCAGGTGAGGGGTCAAAACTAACTTACAGTCGAGACATTTTCACTGTGGAATTGAAAGATAGTCATGTATATGCAGTGAAATGTAACTTTGACTTTATTCTCAACTATGGTGTGAGAGACTTCTGAAGTGACTATGACTGATCGATATAAAATTTTTAGGTCACCTGAGTCACTCAGGTGACCTATTGCTATCCGTTCTCGTCCGTCGGCGTGCGTCGTGTGTTAACATTTGAACATTTTTAGCTTCTTCTCTGAAACCGCTAAACCAATTTCAACCAAATTTGGCATATAGCATCTATGGGTGAAGGGGAACAAAAATTGTGAATTTCATGGTCCCTGCCCCCCTGGGGCCTGAGGGGTGGGGCTAAAACCACCAAAAATAATGCAATCTTTAAAAATCTTCTTCTTTACTCCAGGACATCAAGCAGTCAAACTGTTGGCATCATTGTAATAAGCAGTGAGCCCTCTACCAAAATTGTGAAATTCATGGCCCCAGGGTCAGGGGTTCTGGCTTCAGGGTGGGGCTATATAGATCATATAGTGAAAGTGCATTATTTCTTTGAAAATCTTCTTCTCTGCTCCTGGGTGTTAAAGTAACTAAGTTCATAGTTATGAATAGCAAGAGTGCCTCTTCCAAAATTGTGAAATTCATGGCCCCAGGGTCAGGGGTTCTGGTGTTAGGGCGGGGCTCTATTGATTATATAATGAAAATACATTAATTCTTTGAAAATCTTCTTCTCTGCTCCTGGGTATTAAATAAAGTAACTAAGTACATAGTTATGATGAGCAAGAGTGCCTCTTCCGAAATTGTGAAATTCATGGCCCCTGTGTCGGGGTTCTGACTCCAGGGTGGGGCTATATAGATCATATAGTGAAAGTGCATTATTTCTTTGAAAATCTTCTTCTCTGCTCCTGGGTATTAAATAAAGTAACTAAGTACATAGTTATAAATAGCAAGAGTGCCTCTTCCAAAATTGTGAACTTCATGGCCCCAGGGTCAGGGGTTCTGGTGTTAGGGTGGGGCTCTATTGATTATATAGTGAAAATGCATTAATTCTTTGAAAATCTTCTTCTGTGCTCCTGGGTATTAAATAAAGTAACTAAGTACATAGTTATGATGAGCAAGAGTGCCTTCTCCGAAATTGTGAAATTCATGGCCCCTGGGTCAGGGGTTCTGACCCCAGGGTGGGGCTATATAGATCATATAGTGAAAGTGCATTATTTCTTTGAAAATCTTCTTCTCTGCTCCTGGGTATTTAATAAAGTAACTAAGTACATAGTTATGAAGAACAAGAGTGCCTCTTCCAAAAGTGTGAAATTCATGGCCCCAGGGTCAGGGGTTCTGGTGTAAGGGCAGGGCTCTATTGATTATATAATGAAAATGCATTAATTCTTTGAAAATCTTCTTCTCTGCTCCTGGGTATTAAATAAAGTAACTAAGTACATAGTTATGAAGAGCAAGAGTGCCTCTTCCAAAGTGTGAAATTCATGGCCCCAGGGTCAGGGGTTCTGGTGTTAGGGTGGGGCTCTATTGATTATATAGTGAAAATGCATTGATTCTTTGAAAATCGTCTTCTCTGCTACTGGAGATTATTTAAACAAACTAAGTGCATGGTTATGATGCATAAAGATGCCTTTTCAAAAATTGTGAATTTCACATTATATAGTGAAAAAGCATTAATTCTATTAATTAATAATTAATTAATCCTGTCTGCTCCTTAGCGTTGAGCTGATAAATAAATTGCTTAGCTATGATGAAAATGTGAGCTTCAAACAGAATTTTTAAATCTTGTGGTCTTAGGGCCAGGGGTTCTGGCATAACTGGGGGGGGGGGGGGGGGGGGCTTTTGATAATATAGTGGAAAAGTGTTAATTCTTTGAAGTCCATAGGTATGATGATGAGGGTAACTCTCCCAAATTTGTAAATTTCTTGACCTTTGGTCTTGGGTTCTGGTGTTAGGGTAAGGCTTTGTTGAATCTGTAGTGAAAATGCATTGTACCTGTGAAATTCTTCTCTGCTTCTGGGCATATTGGAAGAAAACTGAGTAAAAGTTTATATGATATAAGTAAGCGTATTTCTACCAGATTTTTGAACATCTGGACCATTTGTCTAAGCATTCTAGTCCTGGGCAGGGCTCTATTAATTTGTATTCTACTGAGAGAAGTTATTCCCCTTTTCCATTCACCTTTGATAATTTATCACTGTAAATAATGTATTTGAAAGGTTAATAGAATAAGATAATTATGCAAGAATGTTTATCATATAATTCAAAAAGTATTTTTTTAGTTTTAATATTCAGGTTGACCTGTAAGTAATAGATAAATAAAAATGAGACAAAAATAACTTATCTTATTAAAAGTTCTTCAAAGACCATAAGAGAGGTCAATGCTAGAGCTCTTAATATGAGCTTAAAAATAGTACAGAAGCACTAATAGATTGTTAATAGTCTGCATGGTGATAGTGTTAAGTGGGGGACAGATTAGAACTTAATTTATGAGTTGATACTGAATACTAGATTAATTATTTTGTTGATCCTGATCTTCCTACTTCTCTTGCTTTAGGGCAACAAAGCTTCATCTATCAGTGTATTTAACTTCTAAATTGTTGTATTATACTCAGGTGACCGTTAAGGCCCTTGGGCCTCTTGTTAAAAGGTGTTTTAGTAAATTTATCAAAATATAATTTAATTTTAGTTGTAACATGTCATTTGATTGGATAAAAGATTTAGTTTATATCGTATAACACAAGTTGCCTACATCACAATGAGTTACGTCAAAAACGTATTACTCCACTTGATGTTACTTTTAAAATATGCTCAATTTGAAGCCATTTTTACAGGAAAAATTGTCTTATTGTCTACACTGAAATTAAATTACCGGTTTAAGGAACGAAGCTTATTTTAACCTATGTTATACAATATAACATAACTTGGGGCAGTTTACATTTTTTTATAAACCACTTCGCAGTTTATAAAGCGTAAACTACCCAAGTTATCTTATATCGTATAACATAGGTTAAAATAATCTTCATTTCTTAAACAATACAACTTTTGTTTTATGCATAATTTATAAATGTAAGGGGAAAAAATGTTGATGTAATCTGCCAAAAATATGACTTCTGGAAAGATTTCAGCATATCTGAGAAAAACGAAAAATAACTACTTGTAGTTTACTGTTCAGTATAAGTGACTAAGCTGATTCAGATCGTTTACTTTTAGATGAGTATCCTATTCCGGGTGCTGCACCATTTAAGGCTCCAAGAAATATCAGAAGGTGGAAAGGGAAAGTTGGCACTTTACATATAATATGGGAGGTATATATTAAGATCAGTTTCCTCCCAAAGAGGTCACTGATTCATCTAGACCTAAAAGCATAATTTGCTATTGTGACTTCATCAACAACTCAGAAATCTCAAAAATTAAAGGAGATGCCCTAGAAAAAAAAAGCCTGTAGTACAGAAATGTTTCCAATTCTTAGATTTACATTGTAGCCCCTCCCACCTGAGGATCGGAATGGTTGGGGTATTGGTTATATTGTAGAATGGAGACTCCCCAGGCAGGATATCCGTACAGAGAACGCTTGGGAAAAGGTATTAACACAATGACAAGATATTTTTGTTCAATTTCCAAGACTTTATTTGTACACTTCTCTTTGCATAAAAAAACTTTTTTTCTGTACTTATCACACCCCTGCAATGAAGGGGGATATACTGGAATCACTCTGTGTCTGTCTGACTCTCTGTCTAGCTGTACGTCTAAAGACTCAAGTAAAGCTCGGTGTTAAGTTCACTTTTTTGCTAATCTCAAGGGGTATCCAAACTGAACTGGCAGATGTGGGTGGATCTGTGGACATGTAATAAGATGCATGCTTTGATTGTGATCTTGCAAAGGTGTCAGTCCCATTCAGTCAACTTAAGTTGTATCTGCTTCTTTGTAGAAAATTCTACCAGATAACAGGAGTGAGTTTGTGACAACCATTGCTGGGACAGACCAGTATTACATTCAGTATGAAGTGAGGGTGACAGCATATAACATGTTTGGTGTTGGGAGACCCTCCCCAGTACAGTACATCCACTCTGCTGATGACAGTAAGTTTCCATCCTTCTTTAAAGGGGCACAGATTTTTTGTGAAATAATTGATACTGTTAAGTAGCAGAGATTTAGAGTTACCAGCCAAATGATTGGGCCACCATAAAACAGCTTCAAATCGTGAAGAAATCTTAGGAAAAAATCTTTTTCTCAAGAACAGCGAGACTACAATGTTGTCAATTTAATATCAGAATAAACGTACAAGTGTTCACATGATGAAGATGCAAAATTGTTGAAATCATGCACACTTTGGCCAGGATGGGGTCACAGTAGGAAATTCATATAATTTTTTTTGAAAAAAAAATTCATTTAATAAAAACGAAATGCAAGGTGACTGAGTCAGATGAGAATTGTGGAGAGTTTACATATTTCAGTTCCTGTGGCAGTGCCTGGTTTGGTTTGGGTGGAGGCCTATAATAGTACAGCCCTGACAGTACACTGGGACAAAGTGCCTGACAACAGAGAGAGTATGAAAGGGAGACTCAGGGGATACAAGGCAGGATAAACTTAAGTCCTGTAGAATAAGTACTTAGAACTCATGTAGAATAAGTACTTAGAAATGTTGTAGAATAAGAACTTAGAACTGTTGTAGAATAAGTACTTAGAACTTCTGTAGAATAAGTACTCAGAACTTCTGTAGAATAAGCACTTAGAACATATCTAAAAAGTTTCTGATGGTAGGGTATATGGATTAATACAGTCAAACTATGTTATGTTGAACTTGATGGAACCAAAAAACTCACCTTAACATTTTAGATCAATGGTATTGACATATCCAGTGTTCAAGATACATGTATTGAAATATCCATGTTTGAGATGTATGTATTAATTTTTGGAGGGGAAGGTGGAAAACATTTTGGAAGTTTTTGTATCTTATACCAAGTAAATTCTACTGTCTTTAGGAGTACTACCAGTAGTTCTCGTATAGAATTATAACAATTATAATTCTCTCTTAAGTTAAGCAAGAAGATATGTGTATAAACTTAATTTGCTGAATTTCATGAACAGGTTAATTACTGGCGGCGATATGGAGAGGATGAGAACCAGGCAATCCAGGCCAGTTTTAGTGGTCAAGCTGACCACGCTCTTGTTATTGGCTTACTGCCAGATACCTGGTATTATGTAACTGTACAGGTATATAATGATGCGGGCAATGGACAGAAAAGTGAGAAATACCCCCAGAAAACATTTAGAAGAGGTAAAAGAACAGGCCATAGATATGTTTTACATACATTGTATATACCTGTACACTGTATTAAAGAATTTAAATGTATTTGTGTGGAAAAGCAGATTGCTGTAGCCAAAGACACAGGTATTTGAAAAAAATAAATTGAAAATATATAAACTTGTAGTGTATATATTGTAAATAGTTGTCTTGTTTTCATTTTATATTCTATTTATATGCAATACTACTTTTATAGCTCCTCATATGTACCCCACAGAAGTTTACGTCCACTCCTACAGTTCAGACTCGGTTAAGGTCACGTTTCGTGGTGTCTCAACTGAAGTGGAGGAAGAACCATTACGAGGATACAAGGCAGGGAGATACTTTTAACCCCCCTATTTCACTCTCATTTCCCCAGTTTGAAGATGGGGTGGAGATATTAATTTTCATTAATTTTGTCATCTCCATTATCACATATATATTTAAACACATATGTAGCTGAAGGTCAAGGCCAATTGCATTTCAAACACATAATGAATGTGAGAATTTTTTATATGAACTATTTCATTAATTTTAGCTCATGTTTAAAATGGATCAAATTGAAACATAGTTGGATATTATTATTTTTCTTCTTTGGATTTCAGATTCGTGTGTGGGAAATGTCAGATAATGTTCGACAGGCTTATGACATTGATGTTGGAAGGACAGTACAAGGCATTGTGACTGGGATCAAGAAACACTCTGTGTACAAACTGAGGGTCCTGGGATACAGTAGGGGAGGAGATGGGACCATGAGCTCCCCACCGACCTTCTTCACTCTAGGTTAATTAATGATTATACATACTATATATATTCTTATAACATTCACAGGTTTTAGCTCTGACACCTTAAAGTCAGGGGAGTTAATGTTAGTAATACCCTTGGCATCGGTATCAGAGTTAGCTTCAGCATACAAGGTTAAATTTTTTGTAGCAAATTTCTGTGCCCAAATTGATGAGAGCTGCAAGGATGATGCTTCTAGAATGTTTCAGTTTTTGGAGCAGATTCATTCTAAAGTAACTGTAAGCCTTATGGTGATCAAACTTGCATGTTTGATGCATATAGGAATGCACTCTACCAGAACTACTTTTGATGCTGAATCAGACCTACATTTCCCATGTGATGGAACACAGTAAAGCTTTTATATAATTAGAGCAGATCTATTCCCAAGGAATTGTAAACCTTATAGTGATCAAACTTACATGGCTGATTCCTTAAGGGATGACATTCAGTGCCAAGATTAAAGTTTTTTTAAGAGGTTCATTACTAGGCCCTAAGCCCTATGCTGACTAGCAAGGATGATGCATCTATGGGTACACTACTTCAGTTGCTGAATCCTACATGGTATATTTTCCAAGTGATTTAACAAAAAAGGTTTTAGGAGCAAATCCAAGTAACTATATGTTAAAACCCTTCCCAGACCAAACTTGCATAAACATTGCATCTAGGGATGCACACTACCTAAAAATTTACATCAGATTTACTTATAGGTGATATTTGTTGAGACGAGATTTGTAGTCTTTTGATAACAAATGTTTGGACTATACTTAAAGAGCTTAAGGATGAAAGGCTTATTTCCATACTTGCAGATAAACAGAAAGTTTAATTAAATACCACAAACAAAAATTCAATGCATGGATTGATATATATTTTTTGACTGATTTTGAATGGAAATGACATAAATAATCAATCCCTAAATTATAAAGAAATCATTAGTTTTCTTTGGTGCTTAGATAAGCGACTTTGTATCGTTTTCTATATAATTCTATTCAAAATTTTGCACATATTTTTGACATTTTGACAAAATCTTACAAAATTCTCCCACTTTACCCAGGTAATATCATTCAGGTTACCTATTTGGATATTAATCTATGAGAAATATTGATGATTTCTGAAAAAAGTTTGGTTGCGTTATTTATCCTTAAAAAGTTCAAAATCCATTTAGTAGGGATGTGGAGCATCAGTATTTGTTATACCGGTATTATTGTATCTGAATAAAGTGAAAGAATAGTAATTATAAATGCATATAACTATCAATGATGATGTTCTTACAATTACAGGCGGCTACATCTTCTTTGATAGTACCAGCACTATAGTTCTACCAGCCAGTAGCTGTGGGGGGAACATATTCTCCTTCTTAGTCACTTTACAAGCAGTACTACCCGGAATGATAATAGCAGTAGTACTCAGATTGATGACTTGAACATTTCCAGGAAACTTAATCATACAGGTTACATGGACATGAATACAAGTAATTTTCAATATACAGCTGTATTCATATTTAACAGTTTTTTTGAGATATATATTGTGTTGCTATAGATTTAAAGTCTTTCATGTGCATAATTTAACTTTATAAAAACACACTATGTGATACATGTACGTGTGATTTACAACATGAAATCCATTTGTCTTTCAGAATTCAGTATTTTTTTTTTTTTTTTACAGATTATTATACATTTGCATACATGCACTTATTTTGCAATGTTTGTTTATATCATAGTTCAGAGTTCAGTCTTTATTTTCTTCTTGTAATGTTCTATTTTGTATATACTGATGCTAATTATGAGTATTAATAAGATATTAAGAATGAGAAATGGCAGTTTCTTTTTTATTATTATTAAAAAAATAAAGTTTACTATTATTTGAATAAATGTTTTTGTATCCAGCCAAAATATGTGGTTTGAAATCTATTCTAATTTAAAAACTTGTACATATAAATGCATTTCATTTCTGTGAAGTGTTGAAGGAGTGTAGTCAAACTCCATCCTTGCATTTACTGAAACAAGGTCAACAGTTATATGGATTAATTCCAAGGGCAAAATCTGCTCATAAGAATTATGTTGAAGAAGGCAATTTTAAGTTTCATGTGCCTTCAGCATTCACTGTATGTGTGATTAAAAGATGAAACTTGATACTTGCTGGCAGAGCATTGGTGAACACTGAAGTACAACATTGTTTTCCTCTGTACCATTTTATGTGCATGCCCTTGTATTATTGTGCATTCTTTAAATGTATTTAGGATGTGGGCATTATTAGATGGAGATCCAGAATTTAAACCCTCCTCTTAAATATGACCTTTACTATATAGTTCTTATAATGTACTGCTGGATGATTTACAAGTTAGTTCGTGGCTATTATTTATAAAACTTGATTTTATGAATGAAGTACATGCGATCAAGTATTACTATGCAGAAAGCCGTATTTATAGTTTGTTGGGTCATATTTATGTGATGTAATAACTTTTAGAACCTTAAGACCTCACATTTATTAGATTAAGAAAGAAAATGGTGAGGTAGATACTTAAAGATTGTTGCTCTTCCTGGTGAAAGGTTATCCTAATAGAATGGAAGAATATACAGCTGGACTTCATTTTCTATCTCGAATACCTGGGATATGTTGAAGTGTATTGGCAGTCCAAATAACTTTTTCTTTGTATGATTTTTACCCTCGTTATCTTGAATCCTGAGATATCTCAAAGTTTAATCTTGGTCCCATCAAGTTCAATTTAAGTTTATAAGGTTTGACTTTTTCAAGACCAAAGGGTAAAGATGTGATATGGCCATTATACATTTTTTGGTGATGGATGCAATAAGTCAAGTAGTATTAGCCTAAAAACATCAGATACATTGTATGTTCTCTATAATAGGTAAACTATAGCTAGCAATTATTAGAGGGAGAAAACTTCAAACATTTTCAAGGTCAGAATTACCCCTCCCCCCCCCCCCAATAATAACTGTTAACGACCTCCACCCCTTGGGGAGATCACTGAATAGAAAGAAGGCCATTAAAGTTTACCATCTATTTTCAATTAGATTGCAAAAAGTTGAGGGCAGAATATCTGATATTGTCTTGGGAGGGGAATATGTATTCATTGAAAAAAAAGAATCCCATAGTACAGCACCATTTCCTGCCCTATTACTTGTATAAAACCATGATGCTTTCTCTTTTACACAAAATACGGAATATTTAACCTAATTTTCAAATATTGTATGCGTTTGTAATTGTGCTGTATACGGAAACGGCAGGTGTGCCCAAAAATATTCACGAAAATAGAAAAGTCTGATTTCCGGTTTCAATTGACTTGCGCAGTACAGTGAATTCCATAGCAGAATTGTGCCGAAAACATTTCTTGCAAAGTGTTTTTCATGAGATAACCTAAAGCGATGCGTGCGGTACCAACCTGGGTTGATAAAGTACACGACAGAGATAAAGTCGATCAATGGTAAAATTATATTTAGATACTAAAACTGTGTGTAATACAGTCTGTAGATAATTTCGAATATTGTTTACCTTAGAAACCTTTTCTGGATTGCTCGAATTTTCTCAAAATGGTTAAAGGAATTTCAATTAAGAGCAACACAACAGTTGTGTTTTAATTTGAAAAAATAAAAGCAAAGTGTTTTGCTACTAAATTGTACTTGTTTTCAAGAACTTGAACCGTTATTTATTCTGTTGACACGCGCACTTTTTTTCAGTATCTGGGATCTTTGTTTCAAACCTGATGGTAGTCAGCTTATTGTTGCTGCGGGAAACAGAGTATTGGTCTATGACACAAATGATGGTACACTAATTCAGCCGCTGAAAGGTCACAAAGACACTGTATATTGTGTTTGTTATGCCAAGGATGGCAAGAGATTTGCCTCAGGTGCAGCAGACAAAAGTGTCATCATTTGGACAAGTAAATTAGAAGGGATTTTAAAGTATACGTAAGTTATAACAATATTTGTCATAATTTTAAAATTAAACAAATAAAAAATGATATTTTTGTTCCTTCCCCTATCATCAAATACAACTTGTAATGTTATGACACAAATTATTTTTGGCTACTTCATTCTTGAAAGTAATGTTCTACAAATTTCTTGATATCTGTTCAGAGTTGGGCAAGTTGCTTCAACAAATTCAGACAAGTAATATTTGATGGCAACTTGTCTGAAGGACAAGTGGATATTTTAATTCATGTTGAGCCCTGAACAGCCTGCTGAATGTACAAATGAAAATGTTAAATCGCATAAAACATTGAGGTAATTATAGATTTATTTCTCACAGACACAATGATGCTATACAGTGTTTAGCTTACAACCCAGTTACCCACCAACTGGCAAGCTGTGCAGTCAGTGACTTTGGTAAATATCAACTTCTTCACATTTCTTTACTAGTTCAAACAGTTTTAGAATGTGTTCAGCAAACTGACTTGATGACACATGGTTTGTTTTAAGATAATGTAGGAAGTTATGTGTCTTTTGTACATGTTGTAAATATCCTGTTTTCTGAAGCCATTGTAGAATATGAGGCAAGAAGGAGTAATGCTCCAGGTATATGTATCTATTAATCTGTTTGTTGGTATTTTTGCTGTTGCTGAAATTCCTTTAAAAAATTGCATTTTGTTGTTTTATTTTTATTTAATTTATGACTTTGTACGATGTAAGAATTGTTAATTTAGAAATGTTTACTTAAAAAACTCACTTGTAGTGAAGTCCTGGGGGCCCATAAATTTACTTCCACTATATCTGTAATTTGTTATATCTCTAAAACAAATTCCTAAAAATATATGTTGTGAATTTGCAATATATATATGTTTCCTTCAAATATGCACATCAAATATGTTCAGAAAACTACTAAATACAAAACATACCTTGGTTAAAGTTGGTTTACTAAAGTTTTCTGATGAACTGAATGTCCAATATAAATACTTATGAAAAACAATGTCAGTTTATATTTTATATATTGTGATCTTCAAAATCTTCTTACAAATGTATAAAAGAGGCATACTGTAGATTCCTAAATATATGTGAGGAATTAATTATCACATTATTCGCAACACTCCCGAAATAAAATTACTTGTTTGTATTAATATGAAGCTTAAATTCATATATAGTCTTTTGACAAACCGTCCACGTGCAAAATATTGTTCTCATGATTTGATGCTTAATAGCCATTTCTCGATATAAAGTACCTGCATAAAATAAGGAATTTACAGTATATGGTTAATTTTAACCGCTACAGAGCACTAATTCAGTTCGCTATATCCATAAATTTGTTATATCAAAGTTCATTAAACAGGGCTCGAAATAATTGATGGCCCGCTGGTCTGGGGCCAGTGAATTTTCAATTCGGGCTGGTACATTGCAAAGGGCATGTGCCTTTTGGGTCGGCATTTTTTTTTATGCATAATAAAATTCATTCACAGTCGGATTAGTTAACTTGACAGGGTTGCGTGTACCAACTTCTGCCGTTTCCTGTTTTGTTAAGTTGTACTTCTAAGTATCACAATATAAAAAAAATATTACTATTATTATTATGGTTTTGGGCCAGTCTTTTTAAAATCTACTGGCCCAGTGGGACAGTGAAAGTATTAAGCTGACCAGTAAAAATTTAAGGGGATAGCCCGAGTGACCAGTAAACAAAAATAATTATTTTTTTAAAAATAATTTATTTTTTATTAATAATTAGCCCTGTTAAAGCCACAAAATTTAACAAGGAATTGTTAAGAATTTTGCCAGGGCTCCCCCAAAACTTGCCTATATCAGTAAATTCAGTACGTTATATATATCCTTTTTCCTACTAAATGAGTTTATCTGTATCATAAAAAGAAGCTTGTTGTTTTGCTGGTTCATAACTTATTAATGTTTTGTAGGATTATGGTCACCTGAACAGAAGAATGTGTCAAAACACAAAGTCAACAGCAGAATCACCTGTTGTAGCTGGACAAACGATGGGCAGTACCTAGCTCTGGGACTGTATAATGGATTGGTCAGCATTAGAAATAAGGTGAGTCTATTTAGTCATTGATTTCTTTGATCTTTCTTGCTCCTGGTAACTTATCTGCAGTGAATAAAATAAAAAGAGAAGAAATAGATTTAAACTATTGCAAGTTGATGAGAATTATATAGCAGGTACATACACATTTACTTATACTGGAAAATTTATGTCTATATTTGTGCATGCTTGTTTTCTAAAGATTCATTCCCAATTCCTGTTTACAGGGTGGAGAAGAGAAGGTCAAAATAGAGAGACCTAATGCTGCCACTTCCCCAGTATGGTCTTTACAGTGGAACCCAAGCAGGTACATTCCAAAGATATCCAAAGTTTTAAATACAGGTTCTGTTTTAGTAAAATTTTATTGATGGTGTAGACTTTCATTTTAGAACTTGGGTCTCATCAACCTGTCAAACGAGAAGCTTATTGTATATTTTGTGTCAGGGTATGTTTTGAAAGAAACTGTGAGAGTATGTTATGAATTTAATTAGGGATGTCAACGAATATTCGATTATTTGAATATTCATTTGATGAGTTGATATTCGAATAAGAATTTACGATTCGAATATTCGTTTTTTTTTCAGATTTCACAAAAAAGAGATAACTATGATTAATTTCGAGGACAACAAAATGAAACCCTTCTTTGTAAATCTAAAAGATGTGAAGAGTTTACTTGACAAAATAAATTCATTGATCATTAAATTAATTAGTCTGTAATACCATAAAGGGATCTATTCAGAATAAATTGCATTAATTACTTGATTATCTCGGTTGTACATATTCCATATATTCTAAAAATCATTTTCGAAAATTGTCCTTGGAAGTGTTTGTTTGCGTTTTAAAAACATTGAATCAAGGATTATAATTACAACTTTTATTGGGTAGATAATTGTAATTAATTACATACATTTAAGTCTGAACAGTATACGACAATCTTGCCCTTGATAAGACCATCAGTTCATCGTTTAGAGCTTCAAGATATAATTTGTAAAATTATATTTTGGATGTTTACATGTACACTCATATCAATATATTTATTTCAAACATCGACAAATAGCAAATGTAAAATTCCTTACTGTACACCCACAAAATTCTACACCCAATTTTTCTTCAAATCTGTCATGAGGGTAAGATGATGCATATATAAAATGAAGTAAATCTTATCGAATATTTGAATATATTCGAATACTTTCATTGAATATTCGAATATGAATTGCTGACAAAATTGACATCCCTAAATTTAATCAATGTGTAATGTGTCTCCTGTGATCAGAAGATGATGGTTAGGTCATCTCAGTGATTGACAGCAACACCCAAAAGTTGATGAATTTTAATTGACACAGAAATTTATTATTACTTATGTTTGTTGAAAGACATATTTATTCAAAATCATTTATAAAAACTGATAAACCTTAACCCCTGTAATATAATTCACATCATACAATTTATGCATCCTGTAGCCCCATTCTATTGTTTTAGATCAACTGAGATCAATTTATTTCAAAAGAATAAAAAGTAAGTCACAGATTGGCCAGGTTGTTTGGTATTACAAAGGTAGTGAAGTTTGGTGATAGGGATATTTTTGCACATGCTCATTTTGTATGCTAGATATTTTGAATGATAGAACACTGTCACATGGACATGAATGTGTGGGTATATGTTATACTAGAATAAAGTATTACGATTTTCAGTTCTTGTACACAACAATCTTGTACAAAAATTTATGTTTTAACTATGAGAGTACCTTGGAGATTTACAATGTAAAACATCAGTGACGTTAATGTGTAATTTTCAGAGATGAATCCTACGATGTCCTAGCAGTGGCAGACTGGGGTCAAAGGTTATGTTTCTATCAGCTGTCTGGAAAACAGGTAAGCTTGTATTCTATAATAGTATGGCATGACATGTCACAGTGAGACATGATTTTAATGGAAAGTATCAACATCAGACAAAGAATAATACAGAACTTTATAATGTAAATTTACATTTGATTAAAAAAATCATTTATACTTTCCAAATCTATTGAAATCTGGTGGTAATTTTGCAGATTGGAAAAGACAGAAATCTTGGCTATGATCCTAATTATGTTCGCTGGTTTTCACGGGGGGAGTATGTCGTCGTTGGAGGGTCCAACAAACAGTGCTGTCTCCACACCAAGGAAGGAGTCAAACTTGGGGTCATTGGAGACCAGTCTACATGGACATGGTCAGCAGCAGTCAAACCAGACTCAAACTATGTGGTCAGTTATAATGAAATTTAACATAATACATGCATCATTAGAAAATTAGAATGTAGAGCTGTTGAAAGTCACAATATCATCTATTGTTGGTACAGGCTGTGGGTTGCCAGGATGGGACCATCGCATATTACCAGCTGATTTTCAGTACTGTCCATGGTTTGTACAAAGATAGATACGCCTACAGAGATAACATGACTGACGTCATTATCCAGCACCTTATCACTGACCAGAAAGGTAAGTAGCCACACAAAATATTTGTGTAGTGTGTATAAATGCAGTTTTAAGTTGATTTAATTTTTAATGGTAGATAAAAAGTGTGCTGTGTCAACCGTTTTGCTTTATGAAAGAAATCGATTTGTTGAATGTAGGACTTTGTTAGCACAGTATATTTTGAATGAAGTTTCAAGTATGCATACAGAGAGATCTCAAAATGCACAATATTTTTCCAGGCTTTGAGCTTACCATCTTGACTCATTATAAATTTTACTACAGTTGAACCTCGGTATCTCGAACACTGATATCTCGAACACCATGGATATGTTGAAGTGATTTGGAAGTTCCAACCACTTATTCTTTAAGTATTTTATCCTCAATATCTTAATCGAATCCTCGGATACCTCGACATTTTTTCTTGGTCCCATCGAGTTCGAGATAATGAGGTTTGACTGTATGTCCTAACAGTTTTCTTTTTCTATAAGAAACAATTTTCAATAGATAAATTTATAAATTAAAAGTAAGTCATAAAATAGAAAATTCATATAAATCATTTTTTTAATTGAAAATGTTGATTCTGATGTGATATGATTACATTTAATATAATAATTTTGAAGATTTTGTTGATACACATGTTTTTTTAAATAGTTACTGATTTAGTATCCTTATACTTTTCCTTCTGGCAATAGCAGAGAAAACTCACAATTTTTCACTTAGTCAGGACAGTTACCTTGGTGAGGCATCTCACATCTGATTGGTCAATTATCATATAGTGCTTTATTCTCATTGGTGTCTGGAAATGTACTCTTTTCACTGATGTGGAGTCATGTTGGGATCTTCTCTTGAATTTTATTTTGTAATACATGTATATGTTGTAGAAATGTAATTCTCCTTTTTAGCTCTACTGGTCAGAGACCAGAAGAGCTTATGCGATAGTAAGATGTCCGTCGTCCATCCGTCTGTCTGTCTGTCTGTCTGTCTGTCCATCTGTCTGTAAACAATTTTTCAAAACGCTACTCCTCCTACAATTTTGTTCCGATTTCAATATAACTTGGCACACAAGTAGACTACACTAAGATACATAATTTAGTGCATCGGTTTATGATTTCGATGGACGGTGTTGCCATGGTTACTAAAAATAGAAATTTCTGTGAAATTCCTTTAAAACGCTACTCCTCCTACAGTTTTGTTCCGATTTCAATATAACTTGGCACACAAGTAGACTACACTAAGATACACAATTTAGTGCATCGGTTTTTGATTTCGATGGACGGTGTTGCCATGGTTACTAAAAATAGAAATTTCTGTGAAATTCCTTTAAAATGCTACTCCTCCTACAGTTTTGGTCCGATTTCAATATAACTTGGCACACAAGTAGACTACACTAAGATACATAATTTATTGCATCGGTTTTTGATTTCGATGGACAGTGTTGCCATGGTTACTAAAAATAGAAATTTCTGTGAAATTCCTTTAAAACGCTACTCCTCCTACAGTTTTGGTCCGATTTCAATATAACTTGGCACACAAGTAGACTACACTTAGATACATAATTTATTGCATCGGTTTTTGAATTCAATGGACGGTGTTGCCATGGTTACTAAAAATAGAAATTTCTGTGAAATTCCTTTAAAACACTACTCCTGCTACAGTTTAAGTCTGCTTCTAATATAATTAGGCATACAAGAAGACTATACTAAGATACATAATTTATTGCATTGGTTTTTGAATTCGATGAACAGTGTTGCCATGGTTACTAAAAATAGAAATTTCTGTGAAATTTCTTTAAAACGCTACTCCTCCTACAGTTTTGGTCTGATTTCAATATAACTTGGCACACAAGTAGACTACACTAAGATACATAATTTATTGCATCGGTTTTTGATTTCGATGGACGGTGTTGCCATGGTTACTAAAAATAGAAATTTCTGTGAAATTCCTTTAAAACGCTACTCCTCCTACAGTTTTGTTCCGATTTCAATATAACTTGGCACACAAGTAGACTACACTTAGATACATAATTTAGTGCGTCGGTTTTTGAATTCAATGGACGGTGTTGCCATGGTTACTAAAAATAGAAATTTCTGTGAAATTCCTTTAAAACACTACTCCTGCTACAGTTTTAGTCTGCTTCTAATATAATTAGGCATACAAGAAGACTATACTAAGATACATAATTTATTGCATTGGTTTTTGAATTCGATGAACAGTGTTGCCATGGTTACTAAAAATAGAAATTTCTGTGAAATTCCTTTAAAACGTTACTCCTCCTACAATTTTGGTCTGATTTCAATCTAATTTGGCACACAGTTAGAATACACTACGATACATAATATGTATTTCTGTTTTTTTTTTTTTTTATTTGGGTGAATGGTGTTCTCATGGTTACTAAAAATAGAAATTTCCGTGAAATACTTTCAAAACGCTACTACTCCTAGTTTTCATTTGATTTCAATATAACCTTGTCACAAAAGTAGACTACATTAAGATACATAATTCTATTTATTGTTGCATGTTGCAATGTTTCAAATCCAAGTGCTACTTTTCTTTTGTTATACCAACAGACCAGTAGAGCTACAGTCTCATCAGAGACTTCTGGTTTATGTTTGTATTATTTATGAAAGGCATTAGTAGCTTTAGATTAATAATGTATCAAATTTACTGAAAAAAAATCTTTGGTTGATAGAATGGTGTTTTTTTTTTTTTTTTGGTAAAAATGTTTATCATTTTTAATTTATTATTTGAAGGAAAAGCTTACATGAATCTATCTTTCTCGAACATGAAATGAATAAGTTTGAAAGTTCAGAGGCAGAATGCAATCCCTGTATGCCCATTGAAACACATACGTTCAGTCAACCTACATGATAGTTAAACCTCTGGCTAATACATGTACCTCTATGATATTCAAAATATTTGTGCAATTACATATTCAAGATTTGTTTTTATTACTTTGGGTAAAATTACAGAAAAATATACATTTATAAATTTATATTTTTCACCTCAACTTCATTTTATTGAAATTTCAATATTTTTTGGCCTTTCTTTTCATCTTTGTCAATGAGAGAAATTACTGTTACATTAGCTTGAGTACCATATGCATATACAGCTGTGTAATTCCAGAACTGGAAAGTTTATGTTTCATAAAGTTCTTTTTTCTATTTTTGCCCTGTAGTGAAATGCCTGAGACAGGAAATGTTGATTAAGGATGGTTATCAAGTCCTGCACAATTGTAAATTTGTGCAGGAAATGTATTATGATAAAGACTCGGTTCTGTCAAAAGCCAAAGAGAAAGTCGTGGCTGAGCTGAGTGTATGTCAGTCCCCCATATATAGAGGCCACAGTAGTCAGTCAGGTTTTCCCCTTCTTCCTTTATTAGTTTAGTTGTTGAGGTTTTTCTCTTTTTTCATTTTTTTTCCTTGCATGTTTTTGTACATGTATTTTAAAGTTTATTGGTGTTTTTTTTCTCTTGCCTTATCAGGGTATTTTCATTTTTTTTCTTTTTATCAGGAAATCCCAAATCTCTATTAAAATTTGTTACTGGTAGTTGTATAATTTTCAATTTCATGTTATGTATATAAATTTAAGATTCCTTTGCAAGCCATGTATTTCATAGAAGTATGTATGGTTTTTTATCCTCTTTAGCAAAAGAGCTGACTAATCATGTAGCTTTGAAATGTTCTCAATTGAGATTAATTTTTCTTGTCCCTAGCTGTTACACATACATATGTATACTGTACTTGTACTGTTAGACTTTAAAAAAAAAACATCCATACTTCAGTGAGGATCAAATGCAGAGACTTGGTTAAGAAGATAGCTATTTATAGGCACAGACTGGCTGTAAGTCAAGAAATCTTTGCTTCCATTCATAAATAATGACAGTAAAAATGTTATAAATCGTAAATACCAAGTCTTAAGATGAAAAAAGATGAAGTTTATTCAGATATAGATTTATGTCAAATATTTATTTAACTTTTACTGTGTTTCCTTAATTTCTCTGATATAGAATTAAAAATTCAGGACTAATAAGTATGCCATTTGTATTCTAAATGTATTTAATTTATTTTCATGATAGTTTTTATTTTAAAAAAACATTGTGATAAATAATTATTACTCCTTACAAGGGAATTAATTTTGCTTCTTACCATATATGTTACAGCTGTGTTTGTTATATGAATTAATATTTATTACTTTCCTTAATTCACGCTATTAAAATCTTTTTGTTCCACTCTGTTTAGGTGCAGCTACCAGATAAGATAGTTATATACGAGCTGTACTCGGACGATGCCGCTGACATGCACTACAAAGTCAAGGAGAAGATTAACAAGAAGTTTGAGTGTAATCTTCTCGTGGTTTGTTCCCAGAACATCATTCTTTGTCAGGTAAGCTGAAATGACAACCTTCTAGATTAAATTTAAAAGTTGAATACAAAATTTTATACTGTAGATTCCTAAATATACTCGAGGAATTTATTATTGCTTAATTTTGCAGGAAGCACCACTTGTGAAATACAGTTACTGGCTTTCATTTTTTTTTTTATACATGTATTTTTTAAATAGCTTGTATACATGTATTGCTTAAAAACATTGAAACTGTAGAACAACAGTCCACTCCCAAATTTATGTTCTTGCAATTTGATGTCTTTAAGCATTTTAGCAATTATATAAAGTTAAATAAGGAATCTACAGTATTCTTACAATTTCTAAGAGTGAAATCAAAACTGTACAGTGTATATAAAATCTTTTGGTTGGATGTGAGATTTTATAACATTATTTTGTATTTGAAAAGGACAAGCGACTCCAGTGCTACTCCTTCCAAGGAATCAAAGAGAGAGAATGGCTGATGGAGTCCCTGATTCGATACATCAAGGTCATTGGGGGCCCCTCTGGTCGCGAGGGACTCTTGGTGGGCCTGAAGAATGGGCAGGTACGTGTCACGCCCAATCACCCTCTAGGCAGCGAGGCTCTTCTGGTTGGCCTGAAGAATGGTCAGGTGGGTGCTTGACCTTTGACCTTCACCTCCACAAGGTCATCCTTGCACCACCTTTTCCTTAAGGCCAACCTGGATATTTTTTCATCTGTCAGTTTGTTCTGTTTATGTCATTGTATTCTCCTGCACTACTGTTTGTTTCTAGTAAAATTTCAATATCTTGATTCCTGATATACATGTACCATTGGTGATGAGCTCTTAATTAGACTATTGTACTTGTACTTGGAAAGAAATCATTTCTAATCTTAATTCTTTACATATATTTGGGATTTTGATTTAATTTATTTTATATATACCTACACTCTGTGTAAACCTTCTTATAGAGAACACCAAGTCCAAAATTTCTGCTTTTTCTAGAATTTAAACAAGTCTTTCTACTAATAGTAATTTAAGCAAACTTAGTTGTTTTTTTTGATAATAGATTATGAAGATATTTGTGGACAATGCTTTTCCCATCATGTTACTGAAACAGAGCACCTCAGTCAGGTGTCTGGATGTCAGTGCCTCACGGACAAAGCTGGCTGTGGTGGACGAACACAACACGTGTCTGGTGTACGACATCAACACCAAGGATCTTTTGTTCCAGGTAAATACTGTACAGTGGGTTAATAGTGAAATAAAATTTTAATTATTGGGATCAGAGAAGGTGCATTTGTTTAATTGAAATTTGCATTTAACATAACAAAGAGGAAATTTTGAAAAATCTCAACTAATGTTTCCGCATTAGTGCTTAATATTATTGATAATTATTATTTGCTAAATTATTGAGCTATGATAAATATTTAACAGCAATTTTATGCTTTGTTACACATGTATTTTGCTAAATTTGATGACACTGATTTTGAACGTAAGAAAACTTTTAAAATTCAGTTATTTCTCAAATGCAATTTTTAAGTTATTTCAAAAATTTAAGTTGAATATGAATCCTTTGATAGGTAAGTAAATATGTAAAGTTTTTATTGCCTAGGAACCCAATGCTAACAGTGTAGCATGGAATACACACTATGAGGACATGCTCTGTTTTTCTGGGAATGGGTTACTCAACATAAAGGCCAGCAATTTTCCAGTTCATGTACAGAAGTTACAAGTAAGGATCCATTTTGGAATTTGTGCATGATCATATAAATATATCATACATAACAATATCATGTAGTGTTTCAGAAAGAATACCTTACATTTAGTAAATTGTATTTAATCCTATTGTTTTCGGTTTATTAGGAGGTAAGAGTGAACTGATGGTTCTTTAGTTTTTTTGTTGTTGACATGTTTGAGTTATGGTTCTTAGTTCAGCAAAGCTTGAGGCTCATGTGAGCTTTTCTGATTAAAGTTATGCATATGTATGTCTGTCTGTAAATGTTTATATCTTGTGTAAACTTTTAGCATTATTCAATTTACCTAGAAACATTGGACTAATTTCAGTCAAACTTACCATCTTCAAATCTTCCCTGGGTAAAGGGATTTCAATTTTGTTCAAATGAAGGGTAACAAGAGGAGAAAACTTAAAAACTTAAAATAGGGTGTAATCATTTAAAATCTCATAAAGACACAATGATTCAGAAAAGACAAAACATACTGAGGTTATATTAAGTAGATTCATAATGTTCACTGATCACATGATGGGGGTTTGGGGTGGGGCCATCATAAGGGATCAAATGTATATTTATTAATATTTTGGAAAAATCTTTTTCTCAAAAACAACAGGTTTACAGTAAATCCTATTTATTTGAAAGCATTGTCATGTTGTGTATATTATAATTTTTACGAGTCATGGCCCTTGGGGCTAGAGTGGGGCCACAAGAGAGGATCACAGTTTTGTAACATAACATACTGGTAAGATGTTTAGGCAGTAGTTCAGTAAATATGCGATACTCCCCTGCAGTGCAGATGCAGAACTAATTCATGCCCCTCCCCCAAGTTAAGCTGGGGCCATAATAAAAAAAAAATCCCCTCAGAAGAGCAAGATATGAGTAGTCTGATCATTGCACAAAAAGAGCAGATTTTTTTGTCCTTTGCTCTAGGTTTTGATCACAAAATGATTTAAAAAATTATACAGAAATTTTGATAAAATTATCTTTCAAAGAACAGTAAGGAATGAACTAACCAGTAATGCAGATTTAGCTTAGTTCATTTATAACCTATAAGGGGCAAGGATTAGAATGAAATTGGGTTTAATATTTTTACCTACGAATATACAGAGTTCCAGCATAACTAAATGGTGATAATTTCTCATTATTAATTAATGTTTTCAATCGTCAATCATTAAACATAGAGCCTCTGACTTACTTTTGTGCCAATAAAGGGTGTTTCATTATAATTTTATCTGGCACAGTGAGGGCAGTGTGATTGAGAGAGTGTTTTTGCCCATGGGTCTCTTGTTCCAAATAGTTGCACATCCTTGCAAAGTTGAATATCTTGAAATTCTAAAGAACAGGACAGATGGTCTTGCAGTGAAACATGGTTATTGCAAACTTAGATGTAGTGAATCTCTTTCACTCAGTACAGTATACAAATACATTTGTATATGTACTTCAAAACAATGAAATATCAGCAGAATTCTAGTATACTGTAAACCAACTTTTATTTGCGACGACTTTATTTCGTGATTTACTGGTGATAAACTAGTTCGCGACGATTAATTTTCGCGATCAAGCCTTTTTTTGATCTGTTGTTAATAGAAAGAGAGAATTTGATTTCATTCACGGCGAGAAATATTCGCAATGACGAGGCTCTCGCGAACCTCGCGAGAATTTCTCGCACGCGAATAAAAGTTGGTTTACAGTATATAAAATATGAATACAATTGTACACACATACATATATAATTAATATGTAATTATTAATGTTTCTTTGTTATAACGTTTACTTAATCATTTTAATTTACTGTATTTGCCCTGATAATTTTTGTTTTCACAAAAAAATGTTTAATTAAACTGAATGATGCATTAATATAAAATGGAATAAGGATGACTGTATATTTAATAAGGCTGACATACATCTGTTCTTTACGTAATCAGTTTCTGTATAACATTGTAGAATTTAATGTTACATGGTGTGTTGTTTTGACAGGGTTTTGTAGTGGGCTTTAGTGGATCTAAGATTTTCTGTCTCCACATCTACTCCATGTCCTCGGTGGATGTTCCACAATCAGCCTCCATGTATCAGTACCTAGAAAAGAAACTCTTTAAGTAAGTGTGGAGATCGAATTCAACTTGAAGTCATTGTTAAAAAAATTTTCTTATTGCCTCTATGGTCTGAATGAATTAATAAACTGGGCAAATTCAAAAGAGAGAAAGTTATTTCTTTTTTGACACAGCTGTGCAAAAAAAAAAAATCAAAACAGAAGCAAAATTGTTTGAAAATAAGATAGGGTGAAACTAATGCAATGTGAAGACATTAGCCCTTTATAGAGTATTTTGCTGAGGACAAATTGATCAGTATAACGACACAGTGTGATTAGTTATGTCCTGCTTCTATCATACACAACCATTGATGTTCTTTAAAAAAAAAGTATGTCAAATATGAAACCAAGAGGCCTTGGTTATTTTCATTTGAATGACTATTGCTTGCATCTTTAAGCTTACTAAAAACTTGGACCTTTTCTAGGGATGCTTACAAAGTAGCCTGTTTGGGGGTGACAGATGGGGACTGGGAAGTGCTGGCCCATGAGGCTCTTGAGGGGTTGGACTTTGACACGGCCAAGAAAGCCTTCATAAGAATCAAGGATCTTCGTTATCTGGAACTCATTCACTCCATAGAGGTCTGTATTCATTTGTCTTTTTGTAACAATGATTAGAAAAATAAAGTGCCTGATGTGTATGTGTGCTCTATATGTGTAATTGTCTTGTGTATTTAAGAGGTGACTGTGCAATGTTTGGTTTAATCATGTTAAATAGTACAACATTTATTATAAACATTTATGTGTAAAATTGTTTATATATTATGACTTCTGCACAGTAATAATAGTATTTGGAGGTGATGCTTTAAGAGCTGTTTCAAAAGTTCATAAATTTGATTCCAGCCAAAATGTTGAACATTTGAAAATAAGTGGAAAAGAGTCATAAATTATGAATCTGAAATTGTATAAGAGCAATGTATTGAAAGAATTGTATTTAATTTCAGGAAAGGAAAAAGAGAGGTGAAAATGATAACATGATCTTCCTTGGTGATGTATACAGTTACCAAGGAAAATTCAACGAGGCTGCCAAACTATACAAAAAGGCTGGTGGGGAACAGAAGGCTATGAATATGTATACAGACCTCAGAATGTTTGACCAGGCCAAGGTGTGATATACTACATTTAGTACATTATATGCATAATTCTTAATTAACACATCTGAAATACATAAAACATATTCATATTTTACAGTGAAAAGCTTGTACTGATGTTAAGATATCAAGATATTCATTATTGAAATATGATTGTGATACGAATCCACTGGATTGCATTTTCTTGCAAATTAGTATTTAATTGAAATTAAGTAACTGAGCTGTTATTTGCAGGAATACATTGGCTCAGGAGACCCTCTGGATAAGAAGATGTTGATTACCAAACAGGCAGACTGGGCCAAGAGCAGTAACGAACCAAAGGCTGCTGCTGAAATGTACATCTCAGCTGGTGAATACTGCAAGGCTATCGACATCGTAGGGGAACATGGATGGGCCGACATGTGAGATTCATATTTAATTACAATGAAGGCTTTGGTCAAAATGAAGATGCGTTTTACATATGTATCTGCAATTTAGGTATCACGGACAAAAACTCTGGACTTTTTTTTTTAAAAAAAAAATCATTTTCTAGATCATTTAGAGTTTTTAATATGGTCCTTTGATTTGTAAGACAATGCTGACATATATTTGAGGATTGACCTATTTACAGGATGATTGACTTGGCCCGTAAGTTAGACAAAGCTGATCGGGAGGCATTGAGTAGAGCAGCCATGCACTTGACCAAGATGGAGCAGTATCCCTTTGCTGCTGAAGTGTACAGTAAAATGGGAGATATTAAAGCCCTCATCAACCTTCATGTAGAGGCCAAGCACTGGGAAGATGTATGAATAAATCTTACTTCATATAAGGATTTCTCTTTAAGAAGAATGTTTTAACTCTAAAAGTCAGGCAATTTGCAATGATATTTGTCAAAATTTGCATTCTGTTGAGGTAGAAATTTAAGTAGCCTTTTTTAAAAATTATATTAAAATATAAGTAAGACCTTAATTGTGTGACTGTCACTGTTATTTCCATATTCTTTATAATAAATGGAAACTGATATGCAGTTACATTTATTAAAGCAAGAATGTTTTTTCATAAACTGAAGTTACTTTATTTTTATATAAATAGTGTGCTAGAACATTTCTACTGATAGTTTGGACTTTCAGGTGACAAACAAGATGATGTAAGCATAATATTTTGATAGTAGGAAACAATGTTTACATCATCTCAGTGAAATTCACCCCATTTCCCCCTGCTAATGCTTATTCTAGTGTGAAATATACAGTCTACATCACTGTTTAATAGTTCAGTGTGATGTAAGCATGTCACCACCTACTGAAAGACCAAACTGTTGATAGATTTGTAATAAGTAGTGATTATTAAAAACCGCATGTAAGCTTTCTGATATCTAATGATTGTATTTCTTTGTGGCAGGCTTTTACTTTGGCAGACAAACACCCTGAGTACAAGGAGGAGGTTTATGTACCGTACGCTCAGTGGCTTGCCGAGAACGACAAGTTTGATGACGCACAAGAGGGTGAATATTCTAATTTAAAACTAGTTTTGTAAAAATTTCTGACTTTTTCAACAAGAGGCATAGATTTAAAGGAAGGGAGTTATAATGTACTTTTTTTTGTAGCATTCCATAAGGCTGGTCTGCAGGGGGAGGCAGTCAAAGTCCTGGAACAGCTTACACATAATGCTGTTATTGAGAGCCGGTTCAATGATGCCGGTTACTATTTCTGGAAACTCTCCATGCAGTGTCTGGATATAGCAAGAGGTTGGTGACTTCAAAACAGACACATTACTTAAGATTTCTTTCTAATGATACTATTCATCATGTTTTTTTTAATTGTAATGATTTTAATTCAAATCAAACTTTCTGAAAATCTGAGTTGTTTTTGCCTGTTTTCAGAAGAAGAAGATGGTTTGTATTCAGGGTTATTTTGATGCTTCATTGGCTAACACTAAATTATAATTTTTTTTTGTTAAACATTTGGAGGTTCAGTGTCCCTAATCTAGCCTTAAGCCTTGAAAAACCAGGGCTTGCCAGGGTGCTAGTCTTATCTACTGTGGAATCATGGGATTATTTTTCACAGGTTCTATTTTCAAGAATTTACAACCTCATCGAGTATCAGAAATAGAAATCTTCAACAAGACATTTAGTTACTGAATTTATTCCCCACAAACTCTAAATTTTTAGAAATCCACAAAAATTGGCCTCCACAAATTAAAATGATTCCACAGTACTCATGTAAAAGCTAGAAAGTGTGAGTCAAGATCAAGTCCTTCCCTTGGATTTTCCCAAAAGTTGCAACCCCTGAATTCAAATTTTTCTGAGCTAAGATCAATGTGTTGACTTGAAATTTCTTGGAAATTTGTCTGCCCTGCTGAAAAGGTTACTGTAGTTTTAGGCATGAAGGTGTGACTGAAAACGTGTATGTTTAGAAATAGTGCTAAAGAATTAAAATCCTTTCTGGAAAAAAAAAATTGCTAAACTAGCATGAAAGATTTACAGGAGCTTTAGTTGATACACCTTAATTTGAGAAACAGAATGTGATATTTAATATGTGTGTATTAGAGAGCTACAAACCTGTGTTAGTTTATTTTTAACTGTTTAGTCTTTATACAGAGAGTCATGTGTTTTTGTCTTTGTATTATGTATGTTTGATCTCTCTGAATTTCTACTTTATACAGAGAACAGTGGTATGATTAATTTGTATTATATATGTAAATTTGCACCATTTCAATGACCACACAATTATGATTGGAGTGTTCAGTTTTATTGTTGTTGACCCATGGATAAAATTTTATATGTGCAAAAATACCCCCCCTCCTTCCCCCCAAAAATAGAATTAAAGAATGCCAATAACTACTCCCTGCACAGAACTTTACATCATTTCTTTTCAGTATTTTTTTATTAACATGTAACACAAATTTTATTTTGATTGATTTGTGCTTGCTGTGATATCAAAATATTTTTTCATTCTAGACTTATAATAAGATGTAAATGTACTGGGAAAAAAAACTTATATTGAGTTTTCTTATCATTTTGTTGTTGGTCTGTTTATGAAATTGAAATATTATGAAGTGTGAATATTGACAAAAATGTTGTTTTTTTTTCTTTTAAACTTGTTACTTATGAGTTTATGAATAGTCTTGAACCTGTAAAAAATTGTACAGCTCATGGCCGTGAATTTATTGGTATAATTGGAGTCATTTTTATTTTGAGCTATACTTAAAGGCACTGTACAATATCATACTTCTCTGCAGCTTTATTGCATTAGATTTGTCGCTTTTTGTAGAGGATTCAGAGAAACGAGAAGAAATGTTTGCCAAGTTCCAAGACTTCCAGAGGAAGGCGGACATGTATTACGCCTACCATTCCATACAGAGATATACAGTAAGACCAGGGTTCTAGAGAGAAATAAGATAAATTTAACACTGAAGCTTTATAAGAATAGGAGGGGGAATATTATCATTGTTTTCTGCTCCTCAAAACAGTTAAATAATGTATGTTTGCTTATTATACCCCCACTTTTCAAGTGGGGGGGATATATTGATGGGTTGTCTGTCCATAAATCTGTTACTCTTAGGGGTAGCCATCCCTTATCTGCAACTCCTCCTATACAATGAATAAAATTTAATGAGGCTCTCACAGAATATTACATAGTGTCATTGTGCATCTTCCATTTACATTTTGATCGGACACACATTTCAGGTTTCCTAGCAAAACATGGAAACTGCCATTCCTTCTATAATGTTGGGAGTACCCATCTCATATCTGCAACTCCTCCTATACCAATGAATGAAAATTATTTTAATGAGACTTTCACAGAATATTTATTACATACCTCTAGTTTTATTCGTATTTTGACATTTTAAATTTAGTTTCATGATCTTGGCTAAAATATATTTGATGGAAGGGAAAAAATGGGGGAAAAACTATCAAAAATGACATTTCATAATTTCATAATTGCTAAATTTTTAAATTTGCTAAAGTACATGTATTCAAAGAGAACTGTTACCTATTATGGAGAAAAAAACATTGTATATCATTGTATTATAAATTATTTTATAAATTGAAAGTTTTAACTCAGAGTCATTGCTTTAAATATGATTTGTGTTGTTGCATGTCAGAACTAGAAATCACCTTAATGGAATGTCTCTGTTTCAGGATGAGCCTTTTACATCACATTTACCAGAAGCCTTGTTTAACATTTCTCGATACCTGCTTCATATGATCCAGAGTGGTATACCACACGGAATCTCTAAAGTGTATCCTTTGAGCAATGGATATGATTTAATACAGTAACTTTGATGAAAGGCCTATTTGAGGATTGATACTTTAAATATGGATTCCCTTTGTTTTATTTTCTTCTTATTATAACTCCAGAAGAAACCTGTACAAGTACTGGTACAATGTAATGAAAACCATTTAAAAGAATTAGAATTAATTTTTCACTTGTCAATTTTTAGTAAAACCATTTTCAACAGTAAAGATGAGTATAGCATTTGTTGAGTTTTAAATATTCCTTAATGGAGGTTAAGAGGGACCTTATATGCATTAGCTAAGCAGAGTAAGAACCTTGGAGCCTATAAGTTAGCTCGTTATGCTTACGAGAAGTTACAGACACTACGGATACCCAGTAGATTTCAGGAGGCCGTGGATCTAGGCAGTGTGATGATCCGCTCAAAGGCATTCCAAGACTCCGAGGTACAATAGTGTATAAACTGGCTCATTTTATATTTGATGTGTCGTTACCAAAATTTTACACACAGTATACATGTATGTTCACATACATGTATGTGTGTACCTTGTGTACGTCATGTTATTGCCAGGGTAGCATCAACTCATACACCAAACTTACGACAAAGTGATTATTATTGCAAGCTTTGGTGTTATTTTTCATGTATTTACTATTTTAGTGTTATTTACTATTATGAAGGCTGTTGGTCTGAATACAAAATAAAATGAGATTATATACATGTAGTAATTGAACTCATTTGAGATTTGAGAATGAAAATTTTGATAAAATCCAAGAGATTTAGTTTGTGAAAGTGTATTGTATTTTCCATTGGATGAATCTTTAAAAAGAAAAAAATTGAAACTGATGATTTATGTTATGCTGCAGGAACTTCTCCCTATGTGTTACCGCTGTTCCACAACGAACCCTCTTCTGAACAATGGAGGAAATTGCTGTGTTAATTGTAGACAACCATTTGTCCACTCTTTTGTCTCATTTGGTGAGGGATTTTTGAAAGAATCTTAAATATTTTTTTTTTCACTTAACAGCAAATTTCTTGTTCATTTTAAGTGCAGAATAGTAAGTTGATAAAAAAAAAATTAGTTTTACTTTCATCGTTATGGAAGTAGAGAACAGTGAATTGTTATTTGTATAACAGATGACTTTAAGCAAAAGATTGATAGGATAGATGAGCTTCTATGAAGTAAAAATAAAAAGATAACCTTTGCTAAATGTAGTTTAACTTTTGTTGTATAGAGGTGCTCCCCCTGGTGGAGTTTGTGTTAGACAGCAGTCTGACTGATGAGGAAGCAGTACAAATCCTGGATCTCTCCATACCCAGACAAAAGAAGGAGGATCGCGGCTGGAAGGAGGGGCGCATCGGACGTATCCTTTATATGACAAAAAGTCATGCTGAGTCAATCTGACATCTGATTTATGCACTTTAAGTGACATGTGTTCAGGGTCTTTTGTATAATAGTAATGAAATATATGAGTTATATATAAGAGATTAATTATGAAGAAGGGCATGAAAAAATTTATGAATTTCAGTTTGTTTTCCTGATCCAAGGATAATTTTTATTCATATATTTTATATTGGTGGATAGGTGTTATGAATTTGGGCTTGTAAATGATTAAATGTAGGAGAGGGTTGTTTCCCTTGACTGCCTTCAAGATGCCCAGACTCTGAGTTTAGGTCAGGCTCAGGATGATGAACCAGAAGAGGAGGACCCATTCTCAGCTAAACTTATGACATTTGATGTAAGTAAAGAGGGGATTTATAGTACTCCACTCAAAAATATTGATTTAAATGAAAGAGAAAATTCTCTGGTCTCTTAGTCAGGGCCTTTTAAGGTAATGTTAAGACTACCATGAACATTTGTTTGAACTTTTCATTCATGGTATTGATTAAGCATAAACTTTTACATGGACTATTGAAGGAGACAAATGGATCTCCGGTGTTTGGGGTTCTCCTGTAGTAAAATACCTTTTGATAGTGAATACTTTGACATCATCATTAGTTCCTGGCTTTTTTCATGTAAAGTGTGAGCTTTGGAATGTCATATTGAAATCATTTTAGCAACTGTTGAAAGTAAAAAGTCTTTCTGAATTATTTGCCTCTTTTAAAATCAGTATTGTTTATGCACTAGTGTATACATTTAAGAGAAATTAAATTTGGATTATGTTTTGCTTTTTGCAGCAAGAAGAAACAGAATTCCGTCCTGTGGTTGTTACAAAATCTGTTCTACAAACTTTATCTAGATCAGAGGTTTACATTCTTAAGTGGCCAAAACCATTGAGATATCAATTCTTTAGATCCTTACTGCCAGATGTCACCATCACACAATGTCCTAAATGTAACAAGGTAATATATCAATATCCAAAATATAATAAAAAGTAACAGATATCTGTTCTTCAGATCCTAAATGTAATAAAAAGTAACAGATATCAGTTCTTCAGATCCTTATTGCTGTATGTCCCTATCAATGTCCTAAATGTAACAAGGTAATATATCACTTTCCTAAATGTAATAAAATGTAACAGATATCAGTCCTTCATATCTTTTCTGCTCGATGTCACCATCACATCAATGTCATAAATCTACAAGGTATTATATCACTCTCCTAAGTCTTTACTTTTAAATTACAAAATTTTGCAAATAAACTCCGAAACCGGTGCACCATAGTTCTTACTAACCCCTCTATGAATACACTAGATACAAGATGATGTCCATAAACTATATTCACATTTCACTTGTATAAAGAGTATCGTACATTAAGGGAGCCAACTGGGGTTTTATTGTATGAAAACTACTATAGAGAAACTCTTTAATTTTATACCATATGTACCTTACATTGACTTCAGTATATATGCCAAGTTTAGTGAACATCTATCGTCTGGTTATTTTTTAGGGACCATCTCAAAATACAGGTACATTTACTATAGGATTATATAGGAAAATACCATTTTTTTGCACTTCGGAGCAAATTATACAAATGCTACTATAGACTTTTTGCTCAAATTATATTATTTGATGGGTAATACTATATTGTACATTTTATGCAAGAAACACAAAATTCTACCGTCTGGTTTCCAGAGGGGGCATCTCAAAATGCCAAAAATCATGATATTTTCCTGTTTTTATGGAGTTCAACAAAACATGACAGATACCACAGATTTACATAAGAAATAAGAAAAATGATTGTGAGATTCTCAATTTCCTATGTTAAAAATTTCAAGAGCATCTATTTTATACTTTTTATTTTATGACATAATTAATGACCCCGCTTAAAGAACTTCGTTTATTCATAACGTCAAAAACACGCTATTACGACGTCTATCTACCCATGATTTGAAAAATCGTTTAAAAAATCAATTATTTAAAAACATAATAAGATTTTTTAACCTTAGATTTCCTAAATTTGTTAATTTTTATAAATTAAGTAAAAATAGTTGCTTTAAAAGAGTAAATACGCTTTATTTTACTATGCTGCGCGAAGTATTGCGCAATGAAAACCCCAGTCGGCCTCCTTAAATTAAAAGTCTACTTTTATTTTCTATAAACAGCCATGAAATAGCAAAAACATGAGTACGGCAGCGGTTCCGGTTGGCAGATCCAAGTTACTGGCAATTTGTAATGAAACTGACAACAAGCAATCATTTATTTATTTCATAAAACATCATCACTGAATTGTTTAATAACCAAAACTTCATTTAAATGATATAAAAGAAATAAGTTGTGAAAACCGATTTAATCGGGAACTGTGCAAATTATTTTTGTCATTCACCGATTTTAATATTGATGGAAACTTCTAGAACATCATAAAGCATCGAGCCCGATGTTAAAAAAGAAAAGCTGCATGAGCATAAGAAAAAGCTTTAGTGTAAATGGTCATTGAAATAATGGTAAATCATTGATAAAACTATAAGATGTGAATATATTTATATATCGAAAAACTTTTAGTAGGTTTTCCAAATAAATTTATCAGTAAAATTTGTATATTCCTCACTGAGAGCATAGTGGCAACGAACCCGTGGTACATTTTGTAGTGACGTACATCTACTGCTGCTCCAAAGCTAAATGCGGGATTTTGAACAAAGTATTTCTTCCTGCTATAAGCCTGTAGGCTGTCGGTAGAAACTGCAATATATATTATTGGAATTTTTCTGTCGGTAGTGGTATGAATTCAATTCCCCGTGCTTGCGCGGGATTTCATCTAGTGTAATAAAACATAATGGATATCAGTTCTTTGTATCCCTACTGCCTGATGTCACCATCACTCAATGTCCTAAATGTAATTAGGTAATACATCACTGTTCTTAATGTGATATGTAAAATCATTACACAATTTGCATGTAGCAAATAAAAAGGTTTTGAGTCAAAATTAGGATTCAAATTTGATAAAGTATTACCATGCAGTATTAGGTAACTAACTCTTTGTCCCAAGCATAATAAGATGTTACATTGTAACAGGAAAGTCTTAATTAAATTAGCTTAAATAAAGTAACCATTATTACAATGCTCCAAATATATAGAAATGTGGATTATTAATCACATTTTTTTCATAAGAACTTGATTTTTGTTTAATTTTGCAATATTGTTTCAAGGCTAAAAATATAGAGTTGACTGTTCTTGCGAATGATAACAAGTAACTCGTTTTATGATGTAGAAGATACACATTTGCAGCATATGTTTTGATATAATGCTACATTGAGTTAATGTGGTACATAATAAATGCACTAATACTTCCTGATTTTAATGTGAAAGCATATTTTTAAACCTACAAAAAATTTAGGCAATTTTCTATTCTCTGTCACTGAGAGAATTGTGTTGATGTGAATTGTTCTGTTTGCAGTTGTTCCATACAGATGACTTTGAGCTCCAATATCTACAAAAAGGCCACTGTCCATTCTGTAGGAGTACCTTGGATGACTGAAAAATTGTTCTACAAAGAGGATAATAATCCATTTTATGAGAAAAAAAAAACTAGTGATCACAAATCATGATCTAAACCAAGAAAGAAAACTCTGTATCAAAGTCCTAGTAATGCATCAAGTGTAGTATATGCATCTTTTTGAATCTCCCATTCAGTTAATGGCAAGCCATTCAAATTTCCTCTTATACAAGTCTTGGCAAATCCTGTGATGCTGTTTCGTTAAAGTCTTTGTTTTAAGTAATTCCATGAATTCTTTAATTGATATTTATACTTAAGTGTGATGAAAGGATTTTGTAATTTATATATTTTTGGAACGTTCACATTTGAAAAGAATAACATTCTCAGTAACTTATTTATACTGTAAAATTGAATTCTTGTACAATGTTGATATGATCTGAAAACAAAAAGAAATAAAAGAATAAAAACTTTTATATCTATCTTTTATCCACTGATGCTAGATGAATGCCTTTATTGAAGAAAAGGTATTTATAGAAAGGTTACAAGAGGAGTAATCTGGCCAATGCTTACAATATTTAATATAGAGAAGGGTTGAAAGTGATGGATTAATTTTTTTCCAAGTGAAAGACTGTTATTGGATTAAAAAAAAATTCAGTGATATTTTAATGAAAGTAATTTTTTACAGGAAATATTTAGAATTGATTTATTATAAAGTTGCAAATATTTAGCAAGCATTGCTCAAGTCTTTCATTAAACTTAAAAATATATATATCAAGCCTTGAAATACTATTGTTGTATTCATAAAATCATTATTTTGATCAAAATTGAACAGGGACTAAACACTCTGTCTAAAATTAACATTTTAATATTTGTGTACACACCACCACAAAGTTTTGTAGATACACTGGAGTATCTATGCTCATCTATTGTTTTTTTCTATCTGTAGACATTATGTCGGAAAGTATTTAATACCAGGGGTATTTTTAGTTGTAGAATTAAAATATACCAATTGAACTTGTGCACCTTGTAGTTTCAGATTGATTAAAATTTGTCAAAATTTTAAAGAGTTATGGCATTTTAAAAAAGATTTTAATTGTAAATAACGTCTTTGACAGAATTAAGAGGAGAGATTGATACTTGATACAAAGGTCATTTGGACAAGGTTAAGGTCACAGGGTAAAAAAGTATTTAATATGGGGGGGGGGGGCAGTGGTTACAGTGCTTTAGAGAGTCACGGAGTTGATCCCTACGTCGCGGGTTCGAATCCCAGTGCGGGATTATGGCTGTGAATGGTCTATGCTTCAAAGTTTTCTTATACCCCCGCTCCAAAGGAGTAAGGGTATACTGTTTTACCCTTGTGTGTCTGTCTGTCTGTGTTTCCATGCGTATATTGGTAACAAGTTTCCGTCGCAGTTTTCTCAGCAACTACTCTCACATATGATTGATATTTTAGCACACTCTTTGTTTAGGCATGCCATATGGTCGGATTCATTTTTGTTCGAATCCGATGTCAACTTCCTGTTTATCCATGCGTCTGTCCATAACAAAATTTCTTCGCAGTTTTCTCAGCAACTACTCAGCACAGATGCTTGGAATTTTAGCACAATCTTTGTTTAAGCATGCCAAATGGTGGGATTCATATTTGTTTGAATTAGATGTCAACATGAAAGTGTATATTTTATCAGAGCGGGGGTATTTTTGTTTTATTTCTTTGTTTTTATATGATGAAAATAAAATTTTTCTTCTTTCTTTAGTAGACTTATTTATTCAAATCTGAATAAAATTGAAAAAAAAACGGGAAAGTTGTCAGTGAATAATTTGGAAATAAAGCACAGAACACTTTAAGAACCTTATTCTAAAGAATATTAGCATCTAATGTGTGTCCAGGGATATTATTTATAGTAAGTTTTTAGTTACACGCATGAAGAGCTCTCGTTTACCTGCTGACTGAAAACAGTTACCTGTATATGGGCCAAGCTTCTTGGTCATTTATACACAAGACTCAAACAAAATAACAAGTTCATGAGATCAATACGATGTTGAAGAACAGCTTTTTAAGCGAAAGCCATATCGAAATATTTACCGTTTTTAAGTTGGAGAGCAAAAAAATTTAAGGGCTCTATATCACTAATTTTAGGGGCCAGCCAATTTTTATTGGTGTCAAAAGAAAGATATTAAAATTTTGCATAACTTCTATTCTTCATGAATTTACAAAATATTTCTTGTTTAAAAGATATAAAGGAAAATATGTCTAAATTTTCGCTCATTTTAGCATACTAATTGTTGACCCCTCTCTAGCGCAATTTTGAACGCAGAAATCAAAACAAACAAAAACCGATTTCCGCAATTGTAATGCTTCTATATTTCAATTTCAATGGTATTTATGCTCCAGCTATTATAGTCTCAGAGCCTTTATCTAAAAACCAAAGCCCCTACATTTCCAATGAAAGGGGACTACCTTGGAAGCAGAAGGGGATGTTTGAAATATATTACAGCATTTTAGAACAGTTTAGTCATGTCTATAAACTCTGAAAAATTGAGCAAAATCCGTTGAGAAATAAGCGAGATATGAAGCCTCAAAGTTAGTCTAGGTAAAAGAAGAAAAAAAGAATAAAAACAAAATCAGTAGAAGGTCTTCTTTGGAACGAAAGACCTTAATAATCTTAATCAACAAAATCAATAGACCTTAACAATGTCGCCCCAATGTCGGTAGAGTCTATACTTAACCAGTCAAGCAGTTCGGGAAAATTAATTCCGGTATGATTTCAGTTTTATAATATATAGCTGAATACCATACTCCATACAGTGTCAATTCTTCGGGACTACTTTCCCTACGAATAATACACAGCATCAATACCCCTTTCTCCTTTTGCACAATGGCACACGTGAGCTTTTCTGATCCAAATTTGTCCATTGCATATGCAATCTAATTAAAATTAGATCCTTTGATCCGCTTACATACGATCCCTACACACTTTGTGTAGCGATCGTATGTGAGCTGATCAAAGGATTTAATTTCAATTAGATTGTTGCATGTAGTCATTTACATCATTGATTATTTTGTTAACTTTTCACAATTTCCTCTTCTTCTTTGAAACTACTTTTAACCAAACTTGGCACAGAGTATCCTTGCGTAAAGATTTAAATGAAGGATCATGGCCCCTTTCAAGTAGAGATAATTAAGAATAAGCAAAAACTTAAGTGTGGTCATTTAGGAATCTTGTTCAGAACAATATATATTCCAGTCAGGGACGGACATAATAAAGTCAATTTATAACCTAACTTACCCCGACTTATAGTGACTTCCTTCAGTCAGTTTAGAACTTAACCCAAACCAAGTTAGGATTAAATATAACCCAGTCAGACAGAAACATGAACAAGTCAGTTTAGAACCTAACCCAGTCAGGCAGAATCAGAAAACAGTCAGCTTAAAACCCAACCCAGTCAGGTAGAAACATAACCCAGTCAAGCATTAATATGAACAAGTCAGTTTAGAACTTAACCCAGTCAGGCAGGAACATAAACAAGTCAGTTTAGAACCTAACCCAGTCAGGCAGAATTGTAAAACAGTAAGCTTTAAACCAAACCCAGTCAGGCAGAAATATTACCCAGTCAAGCAGAATCATAAGACTGTCGGTTTCGATCCTAACCCAGTCAGGAAGAAACTTAACCCAGTCAGACAGGAACATAAAACAGTCAGTTTAGAACCTAGCCTAGTCAGGTAGAAACCTAACCCAGTCAGGCAGGAATATGAACTAGTCATTTTAGAACCTAACCCAGTCAGGCAGAATGATGAATCAGTCAGTTTAAAACCTAACCCAGTCAGACAGAATCATAAAATAGCCAATTTAGAACCTAAACCAGTCAGGTAGAAACTTAACCCACTCAAGCAGAATCATAAAACAGTTTAGAACCTAACCCAGTCGGGCAGAAACCTAACCCAGCCAGGTGGAAACCTATCCTACTCAGGCAAGATCATGAAGAAGTCAGTTGAGAACCTAACCCAGTCAGGGAGAATCATGAAACAATCAGTTCAGAACTTTACTCAGTGTGGCAGGATCATAAAACAGTCAGTTTAGAACCTAACCCAGTCGGGCAGAATCATGAAACAGTTTAGAACCTACCCAATTCAAGTAGAAACATAACCCAGTCAGATAGGAACATGAAAAAGTCAGTTTAGAACTCAACCCAGTCAGGCAAAATCATGAAACAGTCATTTAAGAACCTAACCCAGTCTGGTATAAACATAAAACAGTCAGTTTATAACCTATCCAAGTCAGGAAAATACCTAACCCAGTCAGGCAGGAACATGAACAAATCAGTTTAGAACCTAATCCAGTCAGGGAGATTTATGAAACAGTCAGTTCAGAACCTAACCCAGTCATGCAGAATCATAAAACAGTCAGTTTAGAACCTAACCCAGTCAGGCAGAATTGTAAAACAGTAAGCCTTAAACCAAACCCAGTCAGGTAGAAACCTAACCCAGGCAGACAGGAACATAAAACAGTCAGTTCAGATCCTAACCCAGTCGGGCAGAATCGTGAAACAGTCATTTTAGAACCTACCCAGTCGGATGTAAACATAAAACAGTCGGTTTAGAACCTATCACAGTCAGGAAAAAACGTAACCTAGTCAGGCAGAAACATGAACAAGTCAGTTCAGAACCTAGCCCAGTCGGGCAGAATCGTAAAACTGTCAGTTTAGAGTCTTACCCAGTCGGGCAGAAATCTAATTCAGTCAGACAGGAGCATGAATAAGTCAGTTTAGAATCAAATCCACTCTGGTTAAAACCTAACCCAGTCAGGCTGGAACAAAACAAGTCAGTTTAGATCCAGACATTCTGAGTTTGCAATTTTGATGTTAAAGGGAGAGTTTCCATAAGGCCGCTCAGCGGCCCACTTTTTTTCATAAAAATAAATTTCAATTTATTTTTTTTTCAAAATTAGCTTAGAATTCAAGTTAAATATGTTAACTTTTGCTATTTATATTTTAAAAGTTAATATGAGAAGCATTCACCTGTAGCTGATACATACTTAGATGTACCCTCAGATTCGTTAACATTAGGCTTATTTGAAAATATAAGAGGGTGGCATTTATAAATTGATGTTTAGAATATGAAGTGCATGAGGGACACTCACCTAAATTTGTTCAGTAATTAGATAAACTCTGCACACTAATTTCTTGAAATATGATGAGTGTTGCGTGTGCACTTCGTATCCAAAAATTGAAAATTGCATAACATTTGCATATCTAAAATAAGAAACTCCTGGTTTCTTGATCTGACTCTGTGTTAAAAAAACTAAGCTAAAAGTAGCATATTTTTTTTAAATCAAAGAAGATTCTCGATTATCTTGACAGTAGAAAACATTATCGTATCCTATCTTCATTTAGATGTTT